TTCTCTCCGTCTCATACCTTGCTGCATATGGGATGCACATACACAGGGACTGGACCATAACTGCCCATATTGGAAAGTGGTCTTGGGATGTCTTTAGCTTATGTCCTCAGTGAGAAAGTGACTCATGTCAAACGGGTGTAGAGAAATCCTTTCTTTGTCGATGCCATACTTGAATCCTATACAAAAAAGTTGGCTAAAGTCCGACATGCACATGGTATTCTGATAAAACTTTCCGCCTTTTGACCCAAACATTTTCAGTTGTACCTGGAATTTCCAGAGGAAAATGATGTCTAAAAGTGACCTTGGAGGAAAAACCAGTGCAATCTAGGGGAGTGAATTGTTTTTTAACAATGTGCGTGTCCAATTTAGTGATATCGACCCTAGTCAGCCTATTTTTGAAAATCTAATCATTACTCACATTTCACCGTTGCATGGTTGTGGAAATCTCATACAGTTATTTTCATGGTTGACAACATGTAGATGATCTAAACCATCCGTTGTTTAGATGATATTAGTCAACCTCTCTTGAACTATAGTTGTCGCTCGAACTTGCCTTTGAATGTACTTAACATTTTACAACAACACTTCAGCCACTGCTATGGAAAATAAATAGGCAGCATTATTGAGCACGCTAGATAGGGGTTGTTGACTGTCACAGACTTTGAGTTGCCTTTTTTCCTTGTGTTGTCGACTGTAGACAACTTTAAAGAAATGACTTATCACTTCGGGAAAAGTAATTTGCAACTTGAACAAATCTGAGTTGCTGATTTTACTGACATTTGTTGGAATAATGAGAAAAGTGGACTTGGGGAAAGTCAGCACATCCTCTGTTGGAAAGCAAACAGCGATTAATGGGGGAACTCTAGAGTGAACTTTTTGTAGTAAGGTCATTGTAAAGTAAAAAAAAAAGAGAGCAATGAAAGGGGCAGATAGATCACTGAGCAAACTGGTGGTATTGCATTCATTTTGTGCCCCCTCCCTTAGTGGAGGTGGCGCCAAAGTGGGGGCAACGGACATATCACCCCTTCACTCCAGTTTGTGTTTGGTGCTTGCTGACTCAGTATACATGTATGTATGTCAGTGCTGCTGCCCTGGATGGCTTCGCCATCTGCATTGTCTGAATGTCTAAACATTTCTATTTGGGACCAGATCTGGTGTTTGTGCCACTAACAGGTGGCTGACAAGGCACTTCACAACTGAGCTATGGACTATATTCACTGTGAACAGATCATCAGCCATTTGCAACTTTGACCGCAGCATCCATTTTTTCTGTTTTTCCCCCTAAACATTTGCTCTTGTGCACGTCTCCCTGAATCAGGCCTTGGAATTTTCCATTAAGCTCAAATGTGCAGCAGTCTTAAAGGGAAGGGTTTTTTTTGGTTGTTTTTTCCTCAACCAAGCCAAGAATGTTTGGGAATCGAAGATACCGATAGGTAAATGATGAAAATCTTTCAAAGTGCTGAAAATTCTTCATGTTGATTCATCTGTCCCCATCAGCTTTCCAGTGGGCGGAGCCAGTGGGGGCCCATGGTCCACTGAGCACCATAGGAAAGCAACATCAGTACAGAGGTCTGTTGGGAGCTGGCCTGAGAATTCAGTGTGATTCTGTCTTGTTTAGCAATGTTGAATTACCCTTTCCATTACAGTATAATGCTCATTCATCTAAAAAAAAAGCAGAAATGACTTAATCAAACAAAAATATCACCAGCTATCAGCCCATTTCAAATATTTGCACCCTTCCTAGCATGTTTGAAAGGCTAACTTTAAGGAAGGGTTTCTGTGCTGTTTCACTGTTATAAAGACTGTAATCACACTTATTTTAGCAAGAAATTTTGATCATAATTATACTCTATGTAGTGCTTTCCGTCATACCAACAATCTTACAGTGTTGTAGTCGAGTGCTTTTTCCGAGTACCAAGTACTGCCGAGTACAAAGACTGGTCGAGTACTTTGCCAGCCGAGTACAAGTACTGGTTTCCAAGTACAAGTACTTGCAGTTCCGAGTACAAGTACTTCTAATTTCGAGTACGAGTACAAGTACTTCTAATTCAAAAGTAGTTAAGAGACTCTAAGACCTGCCACTGTGTAAAAGAAACACTGAATGCAGATGACATGGCTACAAGAACAAGTGATCTGGCTAGCAATGTCACGGTCACTACACGTGCGTTGCAGCAGTTGACACAACGTGCATGGTGCGGCGAAGTCTATTTTCCAGACTCAATTGTTCAAATGCCTGTGATTTTCTGTATGCTGGGTTCGTCGTTAGAATTTTTGGGTCCAGACTACCAATGCCCAAGTAAATCGCGGGACCATTCTGGAGTACCACAATATAATTTGCGTACGTGATTGGTTAAGTACGTGCACAGACGGGGAATGGGTCGTACACATTAATGGTCCCACGTTCAGCCTTCTCTTCGTCAGAACCATATCGAATATCAGGTCATTGGAGTCGATATTTTTTAATCTTATTTTAATGGCTGTGGTAAGTTAACTTAAAGGATATTTTTATCGATTACTGTTAATCAAGTATGAGTACTTTGATGCTCGAGTACAATTTTTGGATGTCGAGTTTTGAGTATTTTGTAGCCTGAGTACAAAAACTGTAGTTCGAGTACAAGTACTTGGACGTCAGAGTACAAGTTCGAGTACAAGTACTCTGAAAACAGTACTTGAGTACGAGCACTGAGTACAAGTACTACAACACTGCAATCTTAACCCTAACGGTCCTCTGTTCTCCAACAGGTGAAGGATTGAGGATTGTTAGGGTACTTCCTGCCCTCTCCTTTCAAAGATGTGAAGGAATGGGTTTGACAGTCAAAACTGTTGAAGTCGAATTCCAGTTATCATCATAATTGTGAGAGCACCCTTGTCTAGATGCTGTAGAAAGTGAAATCCGGATGACACCTTGCAATCAGAATAAGTGACTCATGGTGGGGAAATGTGGATGGATGCATCGGTTGTTTAACAAGACCTTTATTTTCTTTTGAAGGAACTGCTTTGACAGTGGAATGGCGAGAACAGAATCTTTTGGGCAGCATTCGAGGTGAGTGAATTTTATCTTGAAAAAGTGCATTTTGAGACTCCTCGGGATGACCAAGGCGCGGAGTTGCCCTCAGAATTTCTTTTTTGTGGGTGGGGCGTGAAGTTGCCCTCAATTATTTGTGGTCAGCTGAAAGTCAATGCATTAGGGGCAATTTACAGTACCGTGTGCAACAGCGGCAGAATGATTTATTTTGGGGGGGGCATTTGTGAGATCATCAGGCATCAGCCATTGAAGGACCAGCCAAAAGTTGGGAGGGGGAATGCCCCCCTGCTTCTGCTGCCAGTGACTGTGTGCTGCCAAATAGTTACCTAAGATAGAGAGGCAGTTGTGTGCAGGGTTCCAGTCAAGCAGTGAATATTTGTGAAGTTTTAAAGGAACACATTCCATGTAGCCCTGCATCAGAAGAGGTGTAATTTGCTGTCATGAGTTACTGTGCATTTACTTTCAGCTGGAGTTTTGACTGTGCTGTTAGAAATTTGCCAGCCAGAATCCATTTTGGGGCCAAGTCAACATCGCACTCCACACACTATTGCTTCTTTGCTAAGCCATTTTGAATGCAGAGATTTGCTTGTTCGTTTTGTATGTACGTGATTTCACAAGTTAGCCAATTTACAGGTGCAAATAATAATACGACTTTGAGGTGCGCATATATATATTTAAATATTGCGAACAAAACTTCAAGCAAATGCCGGTCTGTCAACTGTTAAGGTATGTTTGAGGTGAATGATTGGTTGCACAATATGAGTAACTTCAATTCCCCTACCCCAACCGAGGACAAGGAGGAAAATTGATCTCCATTCATTTTCCACTGGTTGACAATCCTGTTCACCTACAACTGAATTCTGTCTCCAAACCCAACCAGAGGTTATTGACCAGGCATACCCCCCAAGAAAATTTCCAGCAGGTGTACAAAAGTGCTTTTCTGCTGAACTGTGGTATTTGGGTGGGGTCTAATAAGGTAATAACTTCACCTTGAGTTCACTATCTAAGGTGTGAATCTTGAACGGTTGCAAACGTGGGGAAAATATAGTCTGGCTTTCTTTTTAGGTTGAAGAATAAAAACATACGTACTGACCTTGTATGTATGCTTTTTGCTAGTGCCCTGTAGTTTTTACTGTAGGTTTTATGTCCTTAATGATTGAAAAGTATCTATTACAATGATGGGCTTGGTCAGAATACTAAACGTGGTGGGGCTGCACTTTCCAAGCCTCAAGTATAGCAGACATCAGCGGACTGAGCCACCAAAGTATGGGGGACATGCTTTCCAGGCCTCTGGCATCCATTACATACACTGCGATAGGGAATGGGGCTGTACAGTATCTCCTGGGCCTCTAGCTATTCCTGGTAGACAGAGAAGCAAGAGTTCAGACCACCCTGAATGCAGAGCCATGCCTTCTAGCCTCTGGTGCCTCAGGGAGAGATAACAGGCCTGCTTCTTTTGGACCTGCAGCCCCTACTCCAGGCAAAATTTGTGGTAAGAAATTGGGCCATTTCCAGGGAAGAACAAATCCTTGGTACTGGAAATATCAGTCCTGACTGGGAGAACCTGCATAACCTCCGGGATACAGACACAACCCAGTTGGAAAACAGATCATCTGGTACTCACTGGAGCCAGAGAGATACGGTAGGCTGTTGCCATCTTTAACAAGAAACCCTGGTGCCATTATTCTAGCTCTAGTCCCTCTTCGTCAGAGTCAGGTTTGAGCTATTTTGAGTTTCCTTTCACGTCACAGTAGGTCTCACTCCCACAGCATGAAACAACTGTTTTAACAGGGTTTTCAGCAGTTTTGGGCCATGACAGCATATCTTTGATTCCCAAACCGCTGTTGGCCTCACACAAGATGTTTTGCCATCCAAGTCAGGCAAACGTGTCAGTGTGTCCATCCTTCTGACGATTTGTCTTCAGATTCCAACCACCCACCATGTCCCCATTCAGATGCGTGGTCATGCAGCTTCAGCCTAGGGTCACAGAAATCAAGCAGAGCATGCATGCACTGCAGGAAAGTAAAATGCCCCGACTTCCCCACGACTGTTTGGTCAGAAGAGGAATCTTCTGTGTTGCCGTCCCTTTTTGCCTTAGACCAAAGGTGGCATGCACCATCAGCATACCATTTGCAGATGAACCGGCTCCGAAACAAAGTGGTCGCCAATCTTGTAAGAAATGCAGGGGCCCAGCTGAGTCCCAGGACCAGGATTTTCCGGCCTTTCTGATTGATAAATGTTGTGCTCATTGAAAAAATAAACGAGCATCTTCTCGTGGCAAGAGATGCCATTTTGGGTACTGAGGTCCGATTTTGTTGATTTTCTTGCAGTCGCGACTTTGTCAGATACAGTCAGGGACAAAGTCACAACTGCTTCTGACTATATATAGTCACAGATATCAAAATTTTGCAAAGACTTAGGCCCTTTATTGTCAAGACAAGTGGGTACTTGACACCATTCAACTCCACTTTCTTTGTCAATATCAGTCAAAACTACACACTTTCATCTCATACCAGTGTGTCAACATATTCTAACACACAAAAATACGCTGGTGGCTGAATCCAGCCAACCTCAACATAGGTCTGTTAGTTGTTCCAGCCAGACCGACGGTGACATTAATAATGGATGTTTCCAACCAGGGCTCAGTTGTAGGGAATTAGAAATCAGCAGAGAGGGCCTTATTTTGAGGAAGGTTCTCATGCACTTTTCATCAGATGATAAAAGGCTCGGCAGTGCTCATCAAGTCAGACAACTTCACCGTTGTCACCTACCTAAATCACCAAGGATGTAGTCCACCAGCTCTGCCTACACTCCTGGAATCTCCTATAACAATGTTGCTTTATGAATGAAATAACATGGCCAGCACTCCACATTGCCGGCAAGCTGAATCTCAGGACAGGTGCTCTCTCTAGGGAACGATTTGTCCAATGGAATGGACACTACACTCTTCAGATACTGCTGTAATGTACAGCTCTAAAGACAAGCTTGATGTTAACCCTGTCTTGAATGAACAAGTACGGATTGTCTCTGACTGGATGCACAACAATAAACTGGCTTCGAAACCCAAGGTCTTGACTTTTGGTACATCTCAAAAAATAAAAGAAGCGGAGGCGATATTCTGGAGAAGGTGACTGAGTTCAAATATCTTGGTGTATGGTTTGATCCATATCTTAGATGGGATACTCATATTGATAAAAGTGCTGTTAAACTCTCTCAGAGACTTAAAGTGATAAAATGATTGAGTTGGTATATGGACCAATATACCCGTTCTACTTTGCATAATGCTCTCATTCTGCGTCAGCTGCCAATAATTACGTAAATCGAATTCAGGTTCTCTAAAACCGGGCAGCGAGAGTAACACTTGGTTAAAGGGTTAGAGATTCACATGTTTTTATATACCGAATTGAACTAGATGCAGGTTCGGCAGCGGGCTGAGTATTTGAGAATATTCTGATGCACAAGTGCATTCATGGCATGGCCCCGGAGTATTTGGCATCTGCAATTCAATTTCAAGGTAGTAATCACGCATATAACACAAGATTCAATAATAGTAATAATGTTTCTTTTCCAGGTGTAAGAACAGAAGTGGGTAAACATTCATTGAAATTCTCTGGAGCCAAGTCATTGAATGCCTTTCCACCTGACATGAAAACTTGCCTATGCTTGTCAGTTTTAAAAAGCAAATCAAGGCACATATCTTAAATTCAGATAATTAACAGACAATCTTAATTATTGGCCAAACTATGTCATCGAAGCAATTAATCATATTATTTTATCTTATTAATAATATAAGTGTGTGATCCGAACACCATGTGTTCAAAGGTCTGCCAGTGAGCTCATTTTTATGTATTCATGTATTTGTTTATAGACTTTTGATTTATTCACAAGTTTTACTCTTTCCCGTATTACTGTTCTACGTAACTTCTTTGTAAGTAAAATGTTTTTGCTGTGCGTTTAAATATAACGGTTTTATAATAATTTCAAGTTTTAATGATTGTATTTTAATTGAGGGCCTCTATGGAAAGCAGTGCTGTACACTGATGGAGCTTACCCTCATTAAAAAAGACTTAAGTAAAATAGAATAAAAAAGTAGTGAGCAACATCCTCCAAAGGCTTGATCCCCTGCACATAAACCAAGATCTGTTTATGTCAGCCTTCAAAAACCACCTGCTGGTATACCGTGCTGGCAGTCCCAATTAACTACCTGCTGGAATGCTCCCCTCCAAATCCCAACCCCAGTGCTTGGGCAACTCCCATAAACTGGGCAAACATACTGAGATGTGCATTTCCACCAATCTCTCACCTTCTGAAGGTTGCAAGATAATTCTCACCTTTGATTTGGGATTCTCTTCATCAGGTTTTCAAACTTTCACTGACTTTTTTGAAGAACTCATGTTTGTAATCATGTATCAACGACTGGTCGATTTCTCTTGATAACTTATACAAACAATGGTACATGTGCATGTACTAGACAAAAGTTGATGAGTAATATTGCCTAACAGTTTGCTGATCGGACTTGGCCGTTTTCATAGCTGTTTGTTGGCTGTTCGGATATATGCCTGTTTGACAAGCTCATTGTCCCTGCAAAATTTTGAGCTCTCCGGCAATAATCCGCTCTTGGCACGCTGCCATCATAGGCATGCAGAGCCTCAAACTGGCAAGCTTGTACAATTACTTCAGAATCGCATCAACACAGCTTTCGAAATATTGTCCAGTTGTGTGATATAAGACCTGACGCAGCATGCGCAAACTTACCCAGCAATATACGTGCAAATCACCGGACCAGCTACATTAAGCTGCCAGATGCGAAGCTCGTATCTGCTTGCCTACAGCGGCAGCGTGCAAAAAGCAAATGTGCAGCCCGTGCTCTTTTAGACACACTGAGTGCCCCGATGCACAACGGTTCATATTTTTCTCCATGAGCACTTGCAGGTGGCAAGACAAAAATAGGCTAACTTTTGATGCAGTTTGATGTGTTCGGCGAGGCCTCAGTTGTATTTGTATCAGTAAACCTGCGCATCAGAAGTAAGAACAAAATTTAACAGCGAATACCTCCACACTGGGAAAATTATGGGTTCAGTCCAGTCACTGACATGTTCTGCACTTGCATGTAGGTGATCTCAAACATTTAGCTACATCCGTTCTTCATCTGCCAGGATTGATATAAAAACCACTCACGTTCCGGGAAGGTCAACCATGGGTGCTGCACTTTGAGCAGCTACCTGTTGGTTTTACGCAGACTAAAATAAAAGCAGGAGCATACACAAAGTCTTCTGTTTCATAGCTGTGCCAAGGAAATTTCACCGATTGTAGTGGCAATTAATCCATTAAACATCCAAATGTAACAGTCAGACGTGGGTACTCAGGAACAGAACCGTGGGCACACGTACTAGACCTGAACCCTGGGTACACCAGACCCAAACCATGCTGGCACCCAAAGGTCTGTACAGTTAAGCTATCATCACAAAATTTCCCACTAATGTTGAACATTTAGTCGGGAGTGAAATTGCCTATATAAATACACAGTGTAACCATTTCGTTTTCCCACTGGTGTTGACATTTAGGCAGGAGTACATGCACATGTATAGCCCCATTGGGAAAGGCGTCCCATGCGACAGTAACATTTTTCATTGGTCCAAAGTTAGTCCGAGGCAATTAGCATATTAGCATGACTTCCAATCTGCGTACTTGCGACTTGTAATTTGCATACGTGCAACTTCAATTTGCATGTGCGGCACTCTCCCTTTACTTTATCAAACCAAAAAGGAAAGCAAAGTTGACTTTGCTTTGCATGACATGAAAACACAGCCCAATGCAGACCAGTTGTGCTCGTGCATCTGAAAGTCACAACAAGAGAAAAAGGTTTCTTTACAAACAAGACCAATGCAACTCATCAATTCAGACTCCGCACAGCGGGCAAAGATGGGGACATTCGCTGAGTATGATGCCCAAGAGGTGTTATTCACATTCTGCAATTTCATCAGTTGTGACTCTGCAACGGTGGCGTAAATCTGTGTCATGGGGGCGATGTTCATGATAAAGATGCACATCCATAATATGTATCGAATTCATGCAGAATCTTACATCTGCAACCACGCCCACAAAGTAGGACTTTTTGCTCCAGGCAAAGACTTTTGTCACCACATGCACCAGGTCAGTTCCCGGTCATGCCTGCACCTGTAGGACTGTTTTATGGGAGCAAATACAACCCTCAGGTCTCCTCTTTGTCTACATTTCATTATGCTGCTGTGGAAGTACAGTAATATACCAGTCACAACCCAAACAGCCTCCACCAGTCAGCACATGTCTGTAAACAATAAGATACAGTTCTTGATAACGACCATGTAGGCTCCTTGGGGTGACTGATCTTTCAAGAATTTTTACTCTGCAGTGGTTGGGGTCTGGGCTTGTGGTGTCTGCCTGGGGGTGAGGATTACATGGAATCCTTGCCAAGTTGGCCCATTAGGAAAAAAGTTGTGACCATATTTGGTGGTTTGGTGCGGCTTTTATCACCGTTCTGGTGACACCAGGGTATTGCTTTCCCTTCTTACTGATATTGTAAACATTTCAGTTGTTGGGTCAGTAAATTCTTCACAATCCGCTTTAATTTTTTTGCTCATCATTAAAAAGTGTGTGTGTGTGTGTATTGGGAGGAGGTGATTCAATAGCTTACCCCTCCCCCAAAAAAGAGGGGGGAGGATATATACCCCCGTCACTCCCCCCTCCCACCATGTACGCCTATGATCTTCAACGTCTGATCTACTTGCTAAACCCTGTTTTCAGATTTTGGCTTGGTTTCTTTTGTTTCCTGTTGTTGTATCAAAATGGAAACATGTAATGTTTAGCCCCAAAATGGGCAAGTTTGAATGACGACTATATAGTTTTTTAGTATGTGCCATACTGCCAACAGTTCCAACTGTAAAACTGTACAAGTAGGGCCTATATTGAATTATCAGGGCCACGCCCGAAGGAACTACTGTAGCTCACAAAATAGTAGATTACAATCAATGTGATTAACTTTACAAGCAGAACTTGGACACCCACGTGTAATAACTTGATGTAGGATATATGTGAAAGCAGGCACAATTGAATGACCAGCGAATGTCACAACACACCTCACAAGATGGAAGCCTGAAAAGCAAAGCTGCACCGAAAAGCGCAATATATGTAGTGAAGTGAACCAAATGGTTTGCCCCACCTGCACAGCGGAACTTTAGAAATGCAATCATTACTGTAACTGCTACAAGAACAATACTGAAATTTACAAAGAACCATTACATTCCTACATAGTGCCACAAAGACAGTAAAAACATGGTGAGAGAGGGAGCACTATGACCAAACATAGAGGGCGCACTTCAAAAAAAATACACAAGGTCAGGGACTAGCGACGATACTGTATCGACTGGTCACAGTTTTTTGTGCTTTAAGTACAAGGTTTATCTGTTTTATCTATCTCACCATGTGATTTGATTGCCAGGGGTTTTTTCTCATTGATTCGCCGAGCCATTGATCACTTGCATGGTGTATTGAAAGGGAGAAGGGAATGTAGGACCCATCCCGAGAAGTGATTTTCCACTTTGCTCTGGCAGAAACCATTGCAAACCCTGGATCGTAATGCCAGTATAGATAAGAGTGGTTACCCCATCACTATTGGAAGGAAATCTTAAAACTTTCAATGTTTGAGTGCCTGTTAACAATAAAGCCCATTTACTCATACCGGCAAACACAGGAGAAGAAAGATGAGTTGGTATCATTTGTCCTGTTGGCTATTTTCCTGAAAAAATATTCCTTCTTTTGGGTAAAAGCCTTTGAAAGTGAAATTAAAAAATAATGTGCATATTAACTAACACATAGGAAAATAGGTTTCTGTTGTTTCCATGAACAGTTTGAAGATCATATCGACATTGAATTCAAGTACAGATGTTCCATTGGTTTTGTTCGCTTCAATAATTTCAATAAAGTTAGCCCCGTTAGCTCCAGGGTGCCTGTAGCGTTTATCGAACCTGCATACCATCACTTATGATTCAAACACCAGAGCCACTCCGTGTACAAGCCGGCAAAAACTGAATTAAACTTCAGATTAGTGCTGTGGAGGTCAACTTTGGATTCAATTTTTTGGATGCTGTTACAACTCAATTCCATGTTTGGGTTATGCTTTTTTGCATTAGCTTTTAAACATGTGTCTCAGACTTAGACTTACATGTAGGTGCTCCTGTACTGCATGCACATGAGGCCCGTCAAGGCACCCCACCATTTGCTGCCACCAATTCATTGGTTGGCCATCCCCTCCATCTCCGTCTCTAATCTGTTAATATCCACTTAAGGGCTGGATTTGCAGGTCTTGTCCGGGGGAGACTTGTTATGTGTAGCCTGCATGTACGTAGCCAGCACAGGCATCACTTTGCATATGACTGACACAGGTAGCTGCTTGGATCTTTCTCTGACCTCTGTTTGACTGAATTGTGCACTTGCACTGTCTGACATTTTGCATTTGAAATCATTTGTGCATTTTACTATTTTTCCAGCTGGCATATTCACATTCCAAGTAACAGTGGTTAAGGATGGCAGAATCATATTCGCGTACAAAGAGGTGAGATAACCGTGTGTTGTTTTGCTGATTTTATTGACTACTTCAATTGTACACCTGCATGGTTGGGACAATGTAATTTGAGAGGCTGGTGTTCGTGTGTTGAGAAGTGGCACACTGACAGTATTTTAATGTTCACAAAAGGTGGCGTGAACATGTGAGTGTAGGATATTCATATTCACAGTATTAAACCAAGCATTTTGCTACAGTCAAAGAAGCGACTTTTCAGTAGGGCTGAGTCAGTTCAAATAATTTACTATTCGAATAGTCGACCTTCAATTCGATTGAATATCTGAATATTCGGTCGTATTGACTGGCAGTTTGTTGAGAAACAAACCATATACAAAATCAGTTGCAATAACGCACACAGTTGTACATTATAATCACTGTAATAGCTTCTCACATCTACGAGCATCTCCAGCCACAATTTAGCAGAATTTAAGAGACGAATAAAACTTCTTTTCCTGTTGAAAGTATATATTCCTTTTAAATTTTTTAATGAATAATGTACCTTTTGAATCATTGTAAGGTTTCTGTCCCTTTTCATTTTAACCTGCTTGAACAAGCCTCCATGGTGCAATTTTTCTCATTTAAAACAAAAGAAGATTCTCCCTCTCTTTTCATGAATTTTGTATTCGAATATTCAAATTCGAAAAAATAGTATTCGAATATTCGATAATCCATCGAATGTTCGGATATTCGGTACAGCCTTACTTTTTAGCTTTCAGCTGACTTCTTGCACATATTGGGCTATCAACCTTTTTGGATGAAGCCCCTTGTAAATATTTTTGGAAGCCTTGCATGTGATGGAACTTTTTGTTCACTAGAAATGTCAATTTCTAATGATGTGCCAAAATGAGGAAAATGGAAATTATATGTTTTCCCCTTGTTGTATTGTTTAGATCCCTATTCCGGTTGACAGTATCTCCGATGCAAGGCATCCTGTGAAAGTGGGCATAGCTGACGCTTATTACATTGATGAACTCATTGCACCATGTAAGTTCAAGCATCGCTGAAGCCTTTTTTTGTTTTAAAGTTGGTTCTATTCATCATGGTAAAAAGAAATAGTTTGCATGAGCCTCGTTAATTTTGCACTCAGGCATTCTCCATTGCTGTATTTTTATTTGATTTGAAGTTCATAGATCTAAGCATGAAGAAAAAGTTGTAGACTTTGTTGCCATACTGATGAACCATTTGCCTACTACAAGATCAACTTACAAAAGCTGCTATGGGAGGGGGCCTGCAGCAGGATTCAGCAAAATAAGAGAACCCCCCCAAAAAGAAAAGCCATCTTACACCCCTTTTCTGTTAAATTATCAGCAACAGGAAAAGAACCTCCAAACCTCAATGATGTAAAACAAAGCCTTTGATATCCCCCTGCCCCATCGATATCAATGATACCACTGCCTTTAACATTGTACATAATATTTCTTTCCATGGCTGGAGTTTTATGATATTACCCTTCTAGTGTACCAGTACATTTATATTGAATTATGAAATTCCACTGCCACACTGTCTTAAGTTTCGTGGCTTTACCTGATCCCAAAGGAGTTTGACAACCCTGTGTTAAGGAAGCAAGAAAAGTGGAGTGAAGTGCTCCACTCGGACTCCTTGCAGTCAATTACGACAACAATAAAGCTGGGGCAAATAAATTTGGATCTCTAATTATGATATAATTTGTGACCCAACCCAGCAAAATGAGTCATAAGTCTCAAGTTTTTTTTTTGAATACGAAATATTTGAGAGAATTGTACACCCCATAAATCAGTGAGAAATTAACCCTCAACATTTTTCACCCATGGTACAATGGTGTATCCAGCTTTTGATGTGGCAAATGTGGCTTCAGGCTTAGTCAACATGATGTTCAGCCTTGGAGAAAAAAAGATCAAAGGCTTTACTCAAAAGCCATGGGGGGGGGAGAGTTACCCCTCCCTCACTCGCTGGATATGCCACTACCATGGTGTGTCAGTTACCATCAGGATGACATAATGGCTGATACGTTAAAACAAAGATCTCATTGTGATGCTCTCACTGCAAAATAAAACCAAATTACCGAAGCGATGACCTTAAGACTAATTTTGTGGGATTCTGTCACATTGATGCCATCAGAAAAAAGTTACAAATCATGTTGAGAGTTGACCATTGCTGATTTGGTTGAACTGCTTTGATAAATTGGATCGTTTTTAGTTTTCTAATTATCCAAACATCCTTGTTCCTTTTTGGTTTTGGGTTTTCATTCCCCCCCTCCTTTTTAATGTTTGTTTCAATTAGTTACCAAAAAGAGGGAGATCTTTGAGTACCACAGTATTGATATCGATACCTCAAAGGTCAGCAGTGGAACTGCAATTGTCATTTCTCCTCTTCCAAGTAAGTTTTTTGTATTTCCTCATCAAATCTAGAGTCCCCTGTCACAAATGGGTCAACACCCCCAAAGCTGATTTCACACTCATTTTGATACATTAAGTATCACCAAGCCCATGATGATTGGATTACTTTGGGCTGTTGTAATCTGTGTTTGTCATTTGAGTGATTGAATTGGTTTGATTTAATTTGAAATGCTTTTTTTGTGGTTGAACCACAGCAAATAAAAGCCAGACTGTTGTAAAAATAAGCAATTAATAAACATAATTAAAATGACAATTTACTGTCATAGAGGCGAAAACGTACAACATCAACCCCGTGAAATTTGAGTCATTATGGAAGAACAGAGAAATGGTAATTAATTTACCAGTCAGTCTGATCAAATTTGCTTTAGGAGTCATGGTGTCAGAATCTTAAGAGTCTCTGGGGGCAGATCCGGGAATTTTTGTGAGGGAAAGGGGAGGGGGTCAAGCTGGAGCTTTTGTTTAAATGTCTCATTTTTTGTGGACAAGCTGAAACGATGATGAAATATTACATAACATTCATGGCTTGCAATGGTATTGGTGTGTCAGAAGAATGATTATTTTCACCCTTTTTTTAGCTTCTGTTTATCTCAGGGGGAGGGTGGGGTTTGACCCAATCCCCCCCCCCACGGATCCGTGCCTGGTATCACAACATCAGCATAACACAGAAAGTAAATTTGGGACATAAATTGTGCAAGTTTCTTCTCCAAGTATGAAACCCTCATGACATCCCTTATTGAAATTAAGAGAATGCTCTTTTTTAGGCAGATGAGGGTGCTGTTTGTGTTAGATGAAGACGCTTAATCCGTGGGTTCAGATTATGACTCAATCCAGAGTGTCCTTGTTTGATATATTGTTGCTCACTGGCCAACTCTCAGGTACACAAACAACTAATAATCAAAGAAAACAGAAATGTAAATTAACAGCAAAACCTCCCAATTAATTGATGGCAATTAAATTACTAAAAGTGCTGAAATGGCCCTAGCATTGACTTTTTGCTCCTTCACTTTGACACGATTTTTGCCCACATTGACTCCTTCAATTTGACATGATTTTTGCCCACATTGACTCCTTCAATTTGACACGATTTTTGCCCACAGAATTACAAATTTTTAAAATGGGACACCAAGAAAGCATGCATTTACAATGACTGCATAAAAATTACACATCATGGCCCTGGAAGTAGTTATATTGTCAGATTAAGTAAAGAAAGTGAAATGTTGCTACTGCTGGACATTTATAGTATTAAATTGTCTTCTGCATTTGTACTTGAAATACGGGTAAAAGATTTTCTTCCTGAAAAACATCAGATTTACAGTGCAGTACAACTTCATGATTCAACTAGTTTTTTTGTATGAGAAAAAATTACTGTAAGAAAACTTAATCACAGTTAGTTGCACTCTTTGGAGTAAATGTAAAATTTCAAGATCCAGTTTTGGCAGAAGGTGTCTGAAGAATAGAGCATACACATAATAGAGTCAGTGTGTATGAATACTATGATCACGGAGGTTTTAGGGAGTAGATCCCCCTGTTAAGCATTGCATTAACTTAGAGGTTAAAGGTCATGTTATGCATGCATGGATGAACAGCTGGTTGCATGATGCAGCATAGTGTACATGTACATGTACACCGNGTTTAAATGTCTCAATTTTTTGTAGACAAGCTGAAATGATGATGAAATATTACATAACATTCATGGCTTGCAATGGTATTGGTGTGTCAGAAGAATTATTATTTTCACCCTTTTTTTAGCTTCTGTTTATCTCAGGGGGAGGGTGGGGTTTGACCCAATCCCCCCCCACGGAGGGAGGGTGGAGTTTGACCCAATCCCCCCCCTCCCCGGATCCGTGCCTGGTATCACAACATCAGCATAACACATAAAGTAAATTTGGGACATAAATTGTGCAACTTTCTTCTCCTTCAAGTATGAAACCCACATGACATCCCTTATTGAAATTAAGAGAATGCTCTTTTTTAGGCAGATGAGGGCGCTGTTTGTGTTAGATGAAGATGCTTAATCCGTGGGTTCAGATTATGAGTCAATCCAGAGTGTCCTTGTTTGATATATTGTTGCTCACTGGCCAACTCTTAGGTACACAAACAACAAATAATCAAAGAAAACAGAAATGTAAATTAACAGCAAAACCTCCCAATTAATTGATGGCAATTAAATTACTAAAAGTGCTGAAATGGCCCTAACATTGACTTCTGGCTCCTTCAATTTGACATGATTTTTGCCCACATTGACTCCTTCAATTTGACATGATTTTTGCCCACATTGACTCCTTCAATTTGACACGATTTTTGCCCACAGAATTACAAATTTTTAAAATGGGACACCAAGAAAGCATGCATTTACAATGACTGCATAAAAATTATACATCATGGCCCTGGAAGTAGTTATATTGTCAGATTAAGTAAAGAAAGTGAAATGTTGCTACTGCTGGACATTTATAGTATTAAATTGTCTTCTGCATTTGTACTTGAAATACGGGTAAAAGATTTTCTTCCTGAAAAACATCAGATTTACAGTGCAGTACAACTTCATGATTCAACAAGTTTTTTGTATGAGAAAAAATTACTGTAAGAAAACTTAATCACAGTTAGTTGCACTCTTTGGAGTAAATGTAAAATTTCAAGATCCAATTTTGGCAGAAGATGTCTGAAGAATAGAGCATACACATAATAGAGTCAGTGTGTATGAATACTATGATCACGGAGGTTTTAGGGAGTAGATCCCCTGTGAAGCATTGCATTAACTAAGAGGTTAAAGGTCATGTTATGCATGCATGGATGAACAGCTAGTTGCATGATGCAGCATAGTGTACATGTACATGTACATGTACTGGTNACCTTACACGTGCGTGCATAGTGGTGTGATAGAGCATGCATTGTACAAAGTACTCTATACATGTCCATAATACTTCCTTATTTATCAGTTCTGCTTGTGCAGCTTATTCAAAAACTTGTAAAGAAGACACAGACAGCTGTCATCACAAAAGGTCTTTCTTAGACTGCTTAATAGTGTTTGTGTAACTTTGTGGCAGACAGTTGGTAGTGTTTATATTAAAGAAAAATGGCAGCTTCCAAAAAGTCTGAATCTGTGAAGGTCCAGCAAGTGGCTCATTTGTGTGTAACTGCATGCATGTTGTTGGTTATCTCGCCCATGGTTTCAGCACAGACAACAGTGTCCACAGAAGGTAATGATTGTAACACAATCTGACCGCTTTTCTGTCATGTTTGTTTCAGACATTTTTATTCAATTTCAAAATGTGTATGAGTCATACATGTACATATGTATATAACTGTAAAACCCAAGGTGATAGTGCCGTATATGGACATCACAACTGTTTCCCTGCAAGGCTGCAGTGGCATATGCCATCAGAAAGTGATGTCCTCAAATTTCAGATTCACCAAGGAAAATATTGAAGTTAGTAATCATAAATTCCTTACAGTTAATTTCAGACCAGTCTCATGGTTTGTGCACAGGGTGTCAAGTGATGTTTTTCCAAACCCAAGCCGCATCATGGCTGCCATGTACATGTACATGCCTGTACTTCAAGTGTACGTGGTTTTTTTCAGTCCTGAGGCTCTGAGCTGCTCGGAGATAGTCATGTACCTCTGCTCTCGGGTCTGGGTGATATAATTTGATAGTCTGCTGTTCATTTGGTGGAAACGATTAAGTTTAAAATGATCCGAAGGTTCTGCATGCATATCAAAGTTCAGTTGTCTGATCAGACGTGCCAGACAACTCTCATTTTGCCTTGTATCAGTGCACAGCCAAAGTTTGAAGAAATGTCACCGTTTGGGTTGGCTTTTCGGTTTTACCTCCAATTGCTTCAAAATGGACATTGTCTGAGTGATTTTAAGTAAGGTTGTATAATTTTCATTTGGTATTTAGTAGTATGTGTATTATTTTCTGCTGTTCTATTTTTTGTCGGTTTTTTAACACTTCGTGAATTATTCTTTTACTTTTGTACCGACGGCCAACCATAGTTTAGCAGCCACTTACAGGAAAATCATGACTGTGACATCAAAAGAGCAGACCTTATTTAAAAGATTCTTTTTCAAGGGGAAGAAGTCAGGTGCTTATTATTAAACCAAGGAAGCTTTCTGGAACCTTAGGACTGCTGAACGTTGTGTCTAATTCTGATTTTTGACCTGTGGGATTAAGCATAATGTGCTGACAGTCGTCCTTATTCCCTTGGCAGGTGAAAGATTGACAAATGAACCATTGGATTATTACCTTAAATGCTTGGATTACTGAATCATACAATCAAATCTAGTTGTAACAGTGTAACATTCAACCCACCACTGAAATTCCGTAATCTTTTTTAACCCTGTCAATAAAACCCAACTATAGTCCTGCAGTAAGTCTGCTGCAACTATATAGTCGGCATATTTCTGTTGAAAATTTCTCATTCTCCCCAAGATTTTTGTGGCTGAGACCTGACAGAATTTTTCAAATATCGTTCATCCATAATATTTACAAAAAGTAGATTTGACCAGCACATGTTGCCATTGTAAATAATAAACGTTAGGATATGACAATGAGACACGCCGTGGCCCATGCCCTAGCTCTCACTGGCACACATACAACTGTTTTGCACAGCACCAGGGTTTGGACTGTCTTATCAATTCTAATTGGCCCATGTGCTATAGTGTTAGGATGCAACATAAACAGTGCGGTGTGTCATGGGGGAAATTACTGGGGAGGGACGTTGTAAAAACTGAAAGAAAATATGGCTCATCGGTTGTGATCATTTCAAGACTGTCATTGGGTTGCCGGGTGGGGGGTGGACCATGAACATCTGGTTCCCCCCTCCCGTTAGTCAGTTGCATGAACTTGGGATGGAGTGAACATGTTCTGTGAGCTCTTTAAAACTGGCGTCCAACATCTTGTGTTTGGTGTGTGTGTGTATGTTTACAGCTTGTAATCTGAAGACGTCCTGCAGTAGCTGTGTTGCCGGCGATGTTGCCTTCAATTGCACCTGGTGTCAGCAGCTGAGCAAGTGTTCAGACGGCCTTGACCGACACAGACAGGGCTGGCTGCAGAGTGGATGCCATGAGCCGGTGAGGTCAATGGCTAGTTCGATCAGTTCAAATGGCAATTACCGACCTGCTTGAACCAAATATATTGCCTGTAAGGGGGCTTTCTGTAAAGCACATGTACATGTACATATGCGCAAAATGCACACATGCATATGCAGTGGTTCGGACCCCCTCTTAACCGAATGTACACCTGTTTCTCCTTGACTTATCAAACAGATTATTGTAAATGATAGGGGTGAAAGGAGCTTTGTTTTAATTACATCTATGTATAAAAGCTGGTCTCTTGGAATTCAATTCAAGTTAATGGGAATTTATTAAAAGGAAAATTGGCGCTCAGTGTACTCATCATTGCCTAGGACCCCTCCAATCCTCTCTCTCTCCACCCCTGCTTCCCAAGGTGTAAATTATATCATCATGCATACATGCAAGTTATGGACAGCCCTAATCCAAGTTGTCTGGAGATATTTTATTTAATAGGTTCGGGTCAAAAGGTATGCTTCAGCTCTGGTAAACAGGGCTTTGGGAAAATCTGTGAAAGTTATTGAACATCAGTAGGCCTACACTGCACAGAACAGCCCACTTTACTCAGAGTGAATGTGTAGGACTACATGTATATGTGGTCTGGGTATTAAAACATTAATTTCATTGGAGTGTGTGGTTGATGCACTGGTGGGGAAGGGAGCAGGGGGGCCTTTTTGCAGATGCCTGATGGCCTCTTAACTGCCTCCCCCTTTGAAAATCATTTCACCACCGTTGGGTTAAGTTGGCATGCAAAGGTGTCTCTGGCCAAACACTTTGGCAATTCTTAACTGTACTCGGGGAATTATTCTGTCTCAAAAGCAGCCAATTTCGCTACCTTGGTTCACCTGGTGTTGAAGAATATAGCAGGGCAGTTTCCTCAGACATTGTTAGGCCAAAAAAAAATCCTGCACTGAAAATTTCCCTTGGTAAATCTTCCCAAATCTGCCACTGTGCAGAAAACCAATGGCATATTCTTTCGAAGGAAAACTTTCAGGGGACACGAAATCCCCACATAGATTGGCTGAATTTTTTCACTCCAATGAATCCCGCCCGAACCGCCTGATGGATTTACATGTAGAAGCATTTCATCGAATGAATCTTGGCCCCTTATGCAGATGAGCAATCACACGTGTGTGTAAATGCCTTCTATCATGGATCTCCTATTGTTTCTCTTTTGTTTGGACTTTAATTTTTTTGGAAGGACTCTCGTTGGTTTTGTATGTATACATGTACTTGATCTTCAACCGTGGACCTATTCTCAACCGTGGACCTATTCTCAACTGTGGACCTATTCTCAACCGTGGACCTATTCTCAACCGTGGACCTTTTCTCAACCGTGGACCTTATTGTCCTCTATTGTTCTGGGTCCACATTTTGAATACGTGTACAAACTCACTAGAGGTGGTGACTGCAAAGGCTGTGCAATGCAATGATTTGTTTATGCACAAGGTGGAAACCGCTTGGTGTGCCAATTAATAACTCACCGAAATAAGCACTGTGCCCAAGGGGGAGGGGGTTCTGTGGCACAACGAAGAATCACTCGATTTACATGTATGCCAGTCGGTCCATGACATCATACATGTACATAATGAGACTGCTGATTGGCCAGAACATAAACTCTTTGCAGTATCTTTTAAAGACCATTGCGTTTCTAAACCCACCAGGCCTCCTTCTAAATTACTCAGCGCCTCTGCTCTCAGTATAAACTTTGCCACAGGGAAACCACTACACGTACATTGTACATGTACAAAAATGTACATGTACATGTATGGAAACCACAACATGTATTTTTACTACTTTGCATAATATCTTTCACTGTGTTACTGAGCGGCTCCACTAAAATAAAGACGGGGAAAACAGGGTTTCTTGGTGGCAAAGGAGTCCCAGAAGCTTGAGTTCCTGGCCGCTGAGAGATGAAGGTGTTACCACAGTGTTGGTACTGGAAGAAAGACAACAGTGTCAGCAGAGGATCGTTTAGGAAATGGACATCAGAAACATCAACGGCATCAAACCCTCTGCTGTGATCCATTCCCTATTTGTTTTTAACTGTCTTTCACCCTTTTTTTTTTGCTTCCATGCAAATGGAAGAGTGGTTGAATTTACATCCTGCCGAATACACCGAGCGACTCCACTAAAATAAAGACGGGTGAAACAGGGTTTCTCGTTACCTCTTATATTTATATATTTACAAGAAAGGGTCAATGTTGGGGAGGTTGAACTGTCAGACAGTCACTAAGATTTCCTAATCATGCCTCTCCCTTCCTGAAGACCAGTCTAAATTTGGTGAAATGCAGCAGAAAGATGACAGATAAGCTAATGGCAAAGCTGGATATTGCTGCTGCAGGAAGTCACACCAAAAAGGCTGAGAATATTGGCAGAGGCAGGAGCGAATTGAGAGAGACGCTTATGCTGGCACAGTTGGTTTGAAATCAACTAATGTGGCAATCTTAACCTACGGGAAAACTTTGCCAGTGCCCAAGAATGTTTGCTATTCAACTTGAACAATGTGTGGAATGCAAAATATTCAAAATCAGCATGTACAGATTTGTGGCAGCGCTGCGACAACTAGAAAAATGCATAAGGCTGCAAAAAGGTGCTAGTTAAAAGTAATCTACATGTAGCTCTGCAGCACACAGCAAAGAGGTTGTCGAAACTAGCACTATAATTGTGAAAGTATCTACACAATGAGACTAAATTTTATTCAAAAGAAACTGGTGTCGGGTAAGAGCAGAGTGAGAACCCGACCTGGGTTACAATTGCTTGATGTGTAAATGAGCACTTTTTAGGGAAAATGCTTGATAATGTACCTATTTATTCAGTGGGGAAAAATGTGGTAGCTTGAAACTTCCACACAGCAGCAGGTTGGACAAATAGTACAGTATTTATTGGCAGTAAAAGCATTTTTGCTGGGTGGAGAAGTTATTTATTTAGCCCAATTTAGTACTGCTGATCTGACAGTTGAAAACTTAAAGACAGTGAGCACTATGCAAAGCTAGCCGGAAACCAAGACCTATTTGAAGATTGAAATAAATTGCAGATCATCCTGTTTTGCACATCATTTGTTGCTCTAGGAGAATTACATTGATGATGTTACCAAGTGCCCGGAATACATCCCCCCGACAGAGGCTCCAAGTCGGCGTCCAACAGCGCCACCTGCCAATGTGAAAGTTAAGGATACAACCACAGTGCAGAATGCGGTGGCTACAACCAAACAGAAAGCCATGACAGGCCCCACAGGCAAGTACAGTTGCAATGGACATGTTGTGCCCTGACTGGCTTCACATTATGCTAATTTGTCTAGCATTAGCACAATGGATCTCTTTTTTATACTGTGCTGCCGGTTGAACTTGATCTTGGTGTTTTTGTCCACAAGTCTTAGTCAACTTATTCCTCTTCATTTTGGATGTTTCCAGCCACTCAAAACTACTCAGCCAACGCCATCATTTTGGGCTGGTTTACTGGGTATTTTAAGATACAGTAAGATCTCAGTAACTCAAACTCTGTTGCAACTGAGCTTACTTCATTGCCACCCAAAAATAGGCTTTTTTGTACAAAATTCCTCTCTCTAAACTCAAAAGGCTAACGCTACTACAGTTCTTCATCTCCAAGTTTTCATGACAACGATCCAAAAAACCACTGCAGCAAAATACCTCAAAAAGTGTAAGGAGGAATGCGAGACTAGGGTTATGAGTCGCAGCAAAGAGCTGTGTGTCTTTTCCCCCCGAGACCACTTGTGTGCTGCATAAACCAGCCTGTATCCACAACAAATCCTGGCTTTCAAGCTGGCGTGATTGCTACTGCAGACCCAGTTGTAGCCCACTTGTACGCAGTCCAATTGCTGACTTTACAGCGGCCATGTGACTGCAAAAAGAAAGGTGGTGTTACTACACAGTGAAAAACGTCAAGTGAAAACAAATGTTATGCTGTATTGAAACAGAATGGATCAAACAACACAGATGTTTTGCCACATGAAGGTACAGTGTTTGAGTGGTAAATATTTATCACTAGAAAAGAACCAAACAAAGACTAAAACGTTGATTTTGTGAGCAAAACTATGTATCATATGAATGTATAAAAGAATGAAAAAAACCACACTAATTCTTGCCAGTGCAATGCATGCTGGTTTTGTTTACATAAACAGTACTTGTACGTGTTATGACTCCATGGCTCAGGAACTTTTCTTAGCTTGAAATTTGGGGGAAGTCCAATTGTTTTGTGTCCCTTCCCCAGAGGTTTGAGTTGTTAAGAGTTTACTGTACATTGATCATGTAGTGCATTAGACTTTTTCTGTTAATTTAACCAACATAGCATTTCCCAGTACCAATGAACTGTTCTGCCTTGGGAGGAGATGATGTAGAAATGTTTAGTTTCAGAGGAAAGTCCCCGCTTGTGGCATGTGGCTGAGTGGTTAGGGTTTGCACCTCCCGATCATAGGTTCAGGGGTACAGATCTTGTTGATAGTTACCCGTTGTGACCTTGAGCAAGTCACTTTTAATAGTCGTACGTGCCTTTCTCCGACAAGGAGTAGATGGGTAAATGAGTAAATGGGAACCTGCAATGATCATTATGATTAAGCTGTTTGCACCTGAAATGACTGCTTCTGTGCTGAGATCGTTTCAGGAATATTAAGATGTTGTGAACTGAATAATAAAAATAATTTATCAGTGCCTCAGATTAACGCATACTGTTTGATGCTATGCTGTGATATGGTGTGGTATAGTATGGTGTGGTACATGTGTGAGTGCAGCAGAAATGCTGTGATATTGGTGGGGGGGACCCATGCTATCAGGTACATGTACATATACAGGTAGAAACTGAAAACTAAATCTTGTACATTTGCCTGAGGGAAACATGAACCCAGGTCGTAGAAGTGGAAGATGAGGAAAAGTACATGTACCACTGTGCCCATTTCACTCCTACTGTGGACTAATATCCTATTCCAAGGACTTCATGGCTGGGAGGAGAGGGTCTTCTGCCTCAGATTAATATACCCTGTACCTTGATTGATATCAATCATTCTTAGCAGGCAATAGCCTCTCAGCATTGCTTACCTTCAACAATGTGTCATTTGCTTGTCAGTGGGGCTGAGATTTTCCAAGGTGTTGATTCTCACGCCACTGAAATTTTTCTCTCTTTATTTACCAAATGTTCAAAGAACTGTGAATGTGAGGAAAACCTGCAGATTTCTGTCTTTTGATAAACAGTAGGCGACTGTGAAGGAGTTGAGTGTCAGCATGGTGGCACTTGTGATCAGGGCCTCTGTAAATGTCCATCAAAGTACCAAGGAGCCAGGTGTCAGAAATGTAAGTGAATGGTTTGATGAATTGCTTTTTGTCTGTGTATTTTTTTACTTGGTTGTAGATCAGGGTGTGTGTTTGCTGAGAACATATTACTGAGAACTCAGTCTTGCCTCTTCTAACCTGAAGTGTAGTCCATCATCATTGACAAGCCGTGACTGGGTCCAATCCCACAGACCCTCCAAGCAGAGAATACTTTATTGCTCGCTAGATTTGCTGACAGAGAGAGGAAAGCCAACAAGTCAGAGAAACAATGACAAATGGTATACCGGTGCACCCCAACCAGTAGCGTGACTAGGATAAATTTTGCAGGGGAGCACTTGGGGGGCCCTCAGTTTCGTCACAGTTAAAAGACTGACTGAGACTTTTCCTTCTCTAATTTCTGAGCAAGGGGGCACAGGCCTCCACAAAAGCCTTCCAACTGCCCCCTTCCCTTGTTTTAATGTCAATGATTTGTACATGTACAGTGTACATGTAGCCCCCTCATAGAGTGAAACAGATAAAGACTTAATAGCATTGCTGTCCCACACCTTGCCAAGACCATGAGATGGTTATGCGCATTCTGTCGAAAAGAAGTCATGGCTTATTAACATGTACATGCAATCATGCAAATACCTGTGTAGTTGCACAGACGCATGCCTGTCACTCAGGAGTTCATGCGATTGGTCAGGCACAGCCCAGAGTCTGTATCCGTGTGATGGATACAACTGGTGCCAGTCAACAGAAAGGGCAGGGGACTGCACAAGTCAAAGAATGGCAGCAGAGTTCCTCCTGAATGAATCTGAATTAACCTTAATCCTCATCTCTGTTCATAACCTCTCCCAAATGATCCTTGTACATGTCTTTAAAGCCTCTCGTGTTCATTTCCTGCCATTTGGTGACATAACATGATTTTCACGATGCTTTTTCCCCCATGTGATCTGTGTTGTTAGAATGCATGCCTTACAAGTACTTGAGTCCAGCTCAGGTGCTTTCGTCCATCACGTTCTTGTTTCTGGCTGCTCATTCTCCTTTTTTTCCCCTCACACAAATGCCTTGCTTCCGTCGCTACAAACAGACGTAGAGAACCACTGTCAGGGCGTTGCATGCAAAAATGGCGGCAGTTGCGTGGAGGGCCTGACCACCCACTTTTGTGACTGCCCAGTAGGAATCTCAGGCACTTACTGTGAGGGTGAGTTAAGAAACCAGGAGTTACCAACATTTGTCTTCTGCAGTGCACTCTCTAGTACACGTATGTCTGTACTTTGGGTCGAGTTCTGGCTATGCCAATTTTTTTTTTTTGTAGTTGAGTTTTTCCCGGCAATATTGCTGAGATGATGAAATCATCCACAAGTTGTGCATGATTAAATAACCCCAAACTGTAAATGTACAAACAATACGGCTCGCAGAAATGTCTTCTTACACAGACTAATCAGTTATTTTGGCTGTGTCCGAAACGGGCTTCCGGAGCTACGGCTAGGTCTATTGTCTGCGCATCTCCACGCATTTCCAATGGAGTGAAGACCCAGACTTAGCTCCAGACAAGAGATTCGGATGCAGCCTTTGTTTCATGTCTAACCTGGTAAACATGTTGGTAAATAGTTCTAATTTCCCCCCAAAACAGTCACCATTTAACACCCACAGCATCAAGGACTGCAAGGCACATGGAAACTGTTAAACTGACATGCTGCAGAAAGGCAGTGTTGGTATTTTTTTTGTATCGATACTTCAGGTATCAAAAAAACAGGAATGATCATGATTGAAACCTTGCTCTCTCTCTCTCACATTCTGAATTCAACTGTAAGTCACATGTGAATTTTGTAAACCAATTATAAAGTTTAATTTTTTCGTGAATGTACAGTATATGACTGGATCTCATTGTACATGCAGGTATGGTCTGCAGCACATGTAAAAGGTTGTGCCAGGATGGAATCCGGACATGTGTAAAGTTCTGGTACCATGCAGTTGTCATGAAATGCTGGACCATGGACATGTCAGGCGCGTGATTAAATAAGGGAATAAATATGTGCTTGGGTGGTCTTAAATGTGCGGGTAATTAAATTAAATTACATGTTCTCTAAGGGTCATAGCCACCAATTCCATTACATGTATTGCTGATTTTGTTCTGTGTACTTGGAGGTATTTCAATTATTGCTGTAGGATAAATAAGTTGACCAGATACATTTTGATAGAATAACCACTCCTATCTTTTCTGTTCAAATTCGCCTCAGTGCATTGTTCATTTGACGAGGTAAAGCATTTCCATGCACAGGTTCTAGGCGCTAGTCATGCCTTTGCATTCTTCCTAAGCTGACTCTTGCTTGCTAAAAGGATTTTCCCTTTGTAAACTCATGCTTCTCATGTGTTCTTCCTGAATGTTGGAATTAATTCTAGGGCATTGTCGTGCTCATTTTTGCATGGTTGTACATTTTCACTCCCTCAAACTAACCTTCGAAAAACATGTCCCTCAATGGGTTCAGAAAGCGATTGTCCAAATCAGTTGGCTACCCCTAAAATGAACATGGGCTCCCATAGAAGTCACTAGCTAGCCCCTGCAGGGACTTCCTACAGATGTACTTGTCACGGCTGTCTGAAGCCAGGACATGGCTGTAAGACATCTGAGTGGGCTGTGAAGGTAATGACAAGTTAAAATCTACTTGATCTGCGGCAAGAGCTGTGACAGCTAGCCTCCCTTGGATACCAAATTGCTTCACTGCAACTTACACCGAGGTTTACATACATGTACAGTGAATGTACAGTTATGTGACATGCATCTCATCCTGTGCTGCCATTCAGTGTCCCCAAGTCCTCTCTGTGGCTTTAGGAATCCAACCCTATCCCATCCCTCGCCCCATCTTCTCCCATCATAATGCTCCCCGTATCTTTTTCTCCCGGCAGTCGTGGATGGTCCAGCCACCCAGTCAAAGCCCTCGTCCAGTGCCAAACTGACTGTTGGTGCTATCATCAGCATCATCCTGATCACCCTGCTGGTCCTGGGCCTGTTCTTCTGGGCCGTCTATGCTTACCGGCACCCAACCTCACCCTCGGGACTGTTTATTCTAGAGGTGAGTACACAGGCCTTGAATTTCATCACTGGTAGGGCAAGGCCACTTTGGCCTTCAAGATTTTCACAATTTCCTTGCGCACCAAGGCCAATGGGAAGGGCACCAAGGCCTAAGAAAAATGGAAAACAGGGCATGGAGTCAGGTTGATTAACTTGACCAAAAGAGTGCAGTTAAAGGAAAGAGGAAAAACTTAATTTGGTCATTACAATCTTCATTAAGTATTATTATAGTAAATTGTTTATTTTCCATAAGGCTCGTATGGAAGATGAACTTGGAAATTTAAGACAAATGAAGAAAAACTGCTTTCACTCTTCCACCACAATTTTGGTTAGGAGTTATTGGGGAAGAAAAATAGGGAAAACTGATGTTTGGTCATGCAACATGCATGGCGCAACATACATGGCATTCGTCCAATCCATTATGAAATGTAACGTCTGATCTGATCTAAGATCGAAGTTGGTCGGAGTGTTGCTTTACATGTATCCCCCCCCCACAGAAGACAGATTTCCTCTGGCATCCCAAACTTTTTTCACGTTCACGTTTTATACATCAAAAGAGAGCTCAGTGGGGTCTTTCTAATGCAGGTTTGTGACCTTCAGATTAATTTGTGGGATCCAGTCCCCAGTGTGTTGAACCTTATGAAACCCTACTGCTGCATGTGATGTAACAATGCCTGGATCATAAATGATGACAAGCAGAAGGCAGAGCAGTTTGTATTTTGTAGTTTTAAAAGAGGTTTCAGTGGGAAGCACCTGCAGTGGTACACTTCGCAGGGGTTGTACTGTAAGGCAACAGTGTTCAGTTTTTCATTAGGAGTTTATAAAATAAAGTTACATGTACTTCACTAGAATAAAAAGGCATGATGTTTCTGTCTTGACTGGCTTGTCATTTAAAGTACCTTGACTTTAAATTTGCTGATCTTAATTTTGCTAATGTGTTACAGCAAGTTCTGTAATAACATTCACCTGTCAAACCACTTACAGTATCGACTATCATACTTTAATTTTTGTTACATCTGAAATGACAATATCAATTCTACCATGTACCATACATGTAAATCCAAAAGTCTCATAGTTTGCAAATTCAGCAGGAAATGTAGAATTGACTTGGAGCGGGGCCAGCTGGCGCTCTTCATGTATGATTGTGCATTGTTACATGTACCAGCGCAACCTGTGTCCTTTGTTATGGTGTGAGCACTAAAGTCCTCGCCAAACTTTGTACCTCAGATATTTCCACCTTTGCTGCATGCAAACATAAAGCAGTGACATACATGAACAAAAGTAAGTGCACTATGGCAGATGGGGGTAGTTTTCAAATTTTGACCCTTGCATCCGACTTCAGAACCTACATTCATTCAAAAGAATTCTGCATTAGTCTGTCGGTTGGTGAAAAAACCTCCTGCAGCTTTTATGGAGAGGCATGTGATCCAAAAAAGCATGTGTGGGTGTGTGCAAGAATGTGGAAGTCATCATTTCAAGAAATATGTCTGGTGGCCACCGACACGTAAGGTACATGACAGGTGTCCGTTGGGTAACTTGTGGTTTTGATTTATGCAAGCCCACATTCATGCACACAGCACTTTTTTGTTGTTATTGCAGTTAGGTACAAGAAGTAGCAGCCCCAAACTGCTCAGGAGTTGAAGGACAGTAAACCAAGGCCTTCAGAAAGCAGAGAAAAAGGAACTCTCATCATCAACACCTGCACACTGTCCATATTCATTGGGCTGCCAAATTTAATTGTTATGCTGAAATTAAAAATACAGATGGAAAACATTAAATTGTTAAGGCTGTACTTGCAACTCATTTTGCAGTATCAAGTCACAAATGTTGCTGCATCATTCATACAGGAAAAAAGCAACAGGTTTGTCTGTCAAAGGCCAAATGTGATTTGCAACCATTGGTCAAAGACTGTTTGATTCAGCCATGGGTGTAAATCCGGAGGGGGGTGGTATATATCCCCCCACTTTTTGGCCAGTAGGCCACTGTTTAATCATCCCTCTCCTAGTTTTTCGTTGTGAGAAAAAAATGAAGGTAGATTGTGAATGTTTTTGGACATCCTAACAACCAAACCAAAATGTATTTAATAGCACTCAAAACGGAAGAATAAGAAAGCCAGGTATATGTCATTCAGATGTTGGATTCTACATGAATGTAATACATATTACAAATATACTTCTGTATTATGAATATCGCCCCTTTGAGTGACATGCTGTCAGAACCCCCCTACCCTTTCAAATTTCTATGTTTGGGCAAGTCCTCCACCATTCCCCATCCTGCCAATTTCCTGCACAGATTCACACCACTGGATTCAGCCTGGTATCTTAGGTGTTATTCATGCATATGCTACTTGTCAAAGTGGACCAGTGGTCAACGTATTTGATGGCTTATTGAATATGACTTTTGTAGTTGCTCCGGGCCTATCACCATAGAGCTCCTAGCTCTATGCTATCACACACACACAAGTGTGTNTTCAGGGTCCCCAATTGCATGCAGAAACAAACTCACACACACAAGAATTGGTACGTGTCTCACTACCTTCATAACCTCTGACCTTTACGCTGCTTCCCCACCTCACAGGCCAAGCACAGAATAAGGGGCAGGGGTCGAGGGGCAAACGGTGTCAAGTACAAGTATCATCAGCATATGGAGGGCAACCAGATCGACTTCCAGATCTGATGGAGGCCTAAGGACCTGCATTTTGTGGCTGCTGAAGGCACTGTGGAAGCTTGGAGTGGATTGATGTATGATGCACAGGAATTTTTTTTCTGTCTTTGATAATCCTGCTTTTAGTTGTTTTGCTTTTTACTCTCTGCACCAATGTCTGTCGTCAGATGTTCAGTTCGTGTGTTCTGCATCTTGTGATATACAATCTAAAGGACAATAGTTTCCAAACTCTGTAAAGGAATAATTGGTGGCATACTTAGGCAAGGGGAGGCACATGCTTGGACTTAAAGTGGTACAAAGGGAAGACCAGACCAGTCAACAATGGGGGAGGGGGGGACGGAGGCCCCTGGCAAGCAGATGGCTCCCGGTCGGCTAAACCTATTTACAAACATCAAAATTATCAATATTGTTCTTGTGATGTGCCCCCCCCAGCTGGAACTGTGGGGGAGGAGGAGGGGCTTTGGGCCCCTCCCCCTTTTCGAGCAGGGGATGGCCCCCACACCCACACACTTTTTGCAGGTTCTATAATAGGGTGGGGCTTAATGGATTGGCCTGTAATTGGTTGATGCCTGATGGTCTCACAACTGGCCCTCCTACTTTGAAAATTGTTCCGCCACTGCCGTTAGCCTGCTGACTACGTTATGGGCTCTGGTGTGTTACACTACAGTGTTTGTATCAGTGATAGATTTCCAATGGGCACAGGATAGACAGTGTCTCGGTCCTGTGAAAAATTTGGGGCCTGCAAAAGTTGAGGACTTATAAAATGCCGGCGCGCCTTAAACATGCACACACAGCCCCACCACCGGCGGCGGAACGATTTTCGAAGTGGGGGCATCAGTTGTTAGACTATCAGGCACGAGCCCTTAATAATAGGTTGGTCCATTATGCCCCACCCAATTATAGAACTCGCAAAAAAGTGGGGGGAAGGGCAAGGCACCCCCAGTCGAAAAGGTGGAGGGGGGCCACTGGCCTCCCTGCTTCCACCGCCAGTGACCACCCTCACTTACTCCTGTGTACATAAACTAGTGTTTTCAAAAGTTCTTGCATCTCTCTTGGAACTTTTCACTTCTGGGGAGGCTACAAAGTAGCACATGGATTTGTGCAACTAAGTCGCAACCAAAAATACAAGGCTTCAGTGTGCTTATTGGCACCCTGATATGAACAAGAGTAGTACCTTTTGAGACTAAATATATGGGGCCCATTGCTTAATCTGTGGCCTTGGCTTGCATTCACTGTTTTTAATAGCTTGACCGCATAAGTGCAGCATAGATATTTGCCTTAACTGTACACTTGTCCACAGAGTGTCCTGTGGGTGACTGCTTGTGGGCGCGGTGCCCAGGACAGCATTTGTTCCTTTTAAAATGCTTTTGCAGACAGAATGTAAAGTTGTGTTGTTCCTTGGAGCAGTCTGTGTGTTCGGGGTAAATTTTTTAAAGTTGTCATTAATACAATTAAATTAACAGATTTATACTTGAACAGGCAATTTGAAATGATAGGTGAACCAAACTGCAGTAATTCCGATAAACCGGGAGAGTTTCGCCGAAGTATGGCATTGGAGAAAAAAAGGAACAAGAACTGTGCTTTACTCTGGTGCTTTGTAAGTTTAGTTATTAAAGTTATTATTTTGGGTTGCCGATTATCTTCTGCTTATGTTAATAAACTGCATGCTTAATTAAGTCATGATTGTAAATAAATGATTAGATGATTGGCAAAAGTTTGTTCCAGTGAAAGAGAGCCAAGTATTTCCTAAACTTTGTCACAGAGTTTTTTATCCAGAGATTGATTGTCCAGCTTTTGTTGCACTGACAGGAGATGAGATTCGTTCATATTTTTGTAGTTGATAGAAGGCAAATTAGACTCAGTCATCATTGGTGTCATTTTGGTATTCCGTTGAATGATGAACAGCGCTTTTGTGTGGAGTACGGTGTGTGCAGATTTGTAGTTAGTAGCTGTCAGGGCCAGCGTAGTGTAAGTGTAACGATATATATATATCTATATTTTTTTTTTCATGGTACAATGCACGTCGTGATACTGAGGTCCCGGTACAGTATGCATTGCAGGAGGTTTTTACTTTAGTTGAAGTTTGGGCAGCTGTTGGATGCATATGTGCAATTTTTACTCATGTCTTTATTCACAAATTAGTCATGCTCTGTGCTTGTGGTGTGGATTTTTTTATGTGCGTTTTCCTCCTGTGTACAGCTACATATGCAACTGCTGCAGTTGCTTACTTCTATTTAATGTTCATTTCGGAGGCCTAATATGAAGAGGCCACTATATATCCACGTTGTACGAGATACGTCTTCCACAAACTGGTACTGCTCTTCACCTGAAATAGTCTTACATGTGTACTTTCAGTAGATGCAATCTACACTGTATTCACAGCCGAGTACCCGGAAAATAGCCTCTTGTATCACGACGCTGTCTCACAAACTTCTCATTTGTAATAATTGTAGAGGAGAGAGAATTGTAGAGGAGAGAGAATAGCAGGTTTATGTGAAGAGGATAACGTTAAAAAGTTACGAGGCAGTGGATAGAAAGAAATCTGTACATTTTTGTTGATGGTTGTGGTACATTATTTCAGTTTTTGTATAGCATGTGCTACACGTTTGCCTTTTCTTGAAATGTTTGTTTGGTTGAATTTGAGAAGGTTGTTGATAGAAATAGATCCACCCTTTGTGTTCAACTAGTCTTGGTACCATTTTTCACTTTTTTTGGACACAAAGAACGGTACTTATACGCACAGGTATCACGCACGCATTGATCATGTGTTGCGTTCGTGAGTTACGGCCTTAGGGCTCCTCCCTCATCAGATGGGACCTGAGTCAATTGCCAGCCCCAGAACGTCAAGATGTCCAATGAGCCAGAACTGTTGAATTCATGGCATACTTCTGTGGTCATTGATTGAGGCCTGCGCTGAAGATTAGCTGTGGTTTGAAAAAAAAAATCCTCATTGTCATGCTGCACTGCTATGACTTGTGCGTGTGAAATTATGAGGCCGCTGGGTCTTTTCAAAGCATTTGCAATGGATGCTCTTCAGTTTACATGTGTCTTTTATCGTATAGAAGGATAACTTTCAGCACTTTGATAAAATATAAGAAATTGGGATAGAAATATCTTTCGATTATCTCTGTATCATGTTATGTAGATTTATGAAGGGAGGAAGATGCAGTTGGCCGGTCTTAAACTTTGAAGACTAGGTCAGGTGAATGGACACTGAGAATATCCTCACCTGTAGCTCAGGCATACAAGTCGCATCCATTCTCCTGATTAAACTTAAGATTACAAATTTCCAATAATTTTGTTTATATCACAACTTTTTGTTTTCCAATACCTCTTACAGGTAGTCCTACTCCTTATTCTTCAACTACACACAAAATCACACACTGACACCATGTTTGACTTTTAGCATAAATTTCGAGTGGCTAGTTTATTTGGTTTGTCATTTTCAAAGCAAGTACTTTTGGCCACACTTGGCAAAAAAATAAATGATATTCAGATTGGCATGCACGTGGCAAGAGCGTTAGGTGGTTTATCAATATTGTTTAGGACTGGCCACATGACTGGCTTCCAACAAATAAGAATGAATTAACTGTTTTATGTATTTATGAATTGTATTTTAAAGTTCAATCTCTATTACTGTTTTTTACCACCAAGGCATAAATTTTTATTGTTGAAATGCTACTTTTTTATTTATAGAACTTAAAGTGATACGTTGAACCTAGAATTCTAAAGAACAAGTTAGCAGTGTTGCAATAAGCCTTTTGCTAGCTAAATTAGATTATAATCTGGTACACCGAGTTATCTGATTCCACATAAACATAACAATTAAAATTCCCCAGACTAAATTCACTGTTGGTATACGTCGTGATTTGGGGCAAGCTTTTACATAGCAACCACCATCTCTGGAATGGACTGGTTCCTTTGTGCCCTTCTTACCCATTGACAACAGTGTATTGTTGCAAGGCGTCTCTTATGTAACTAAGCAAAAACTTGCCCGAATCACGTATCAAATCACAAGGTGTAGCAAGTGTTTTTAGTATGGAGAATTAAAATTGTTTTGTTCATGTGAATTTTAAGAACTTAGTGTACCAGATTTTATTCAAAACTCGCAGATGGCTTATTGCTAGAGTCTCTAGCACCGGGGCCTGATCAGTGATGATAACATGCCTTTGGCACAGTTCATTTGACAAGTTCATGACAAGACTCGGTGTCTTGCCACAATTAAATGTGAGGCTTTGTGCTTGACAGTACACAGGACTGTGATTTCTTAGGATTTATCCCACTGACAGGATTTTTAGCTTTTAGAGTTGTGGACTTTAACTTTAGAGGTTTTATCAATCAGATTTTGCTACTTTTTGTACTTTGTACATAACCAAGTGCAAGATGCACGTAATCATAGCCATTTGTGAGAGACCTTGCACCTTTCTAGCTATTAAAGCCCTGAAAAGTCAAGAGTATTTTTTTTTGTTATGACACCCCGTCTGCTGGACGTTTCTGAGATTTCTCTTCATCCCCCAATCTCTGCAGTACCGCTGTGCTAGGATATGAGAATGAGCAAACAAAACACAGATGCAGTGCACATCGATGGATTTGTCACTTGAGTTCCAATTACAGTGCTGCCAACATGTGAGTGCACATTGGAATTGGGTGTCAAGCCATCTGGTGCCGTGCAACTTGTTTGAAAAAATTAAGCATGAGGAATGGTCGAAGCTGTGTAGCACTGTTCCAGTTGGTTTCGGCATGGCTGTATGTTCTACATGCACAAAATGATAAACCACTGCAATTGTTGCCAGTTAATCTTCTCTTTACCATGAAGGAGCTAATTAATGAACCGGTAAAGGTTTGCAGTGTTGAGGAAAGACAGGACATGGAAATATTCAGAAAAGAGTTATGTTTTTCGTTGTCCTTAGGTTTTATAATTCCGGTGGTCCAAGGTTGTTCCATTTATTACACTCGCGTCTGGGCAAAGGGGCAATTCACTCCATTCATTTTGTACAGGGATTTGCATGTTTTCATCATTTTTTTGCTACAACATGATAAACATAACTGAAGCCTTTTCAGTACAGTGTTGGAGATATATTCATAACGCAGAAATAGTGAAATTTCGGGCACATTTGATGTGAAGGTTAAGAGTTTAGTCAATAATTAAGGTTTTCCCTACAGACCACAACACTATTTTTGCTTCTTTGAGTTTCGATTGTGATACAGAATGGCGGACAGCATCCTGACCACGAGTGAAATACCTCGTGGACATGATGATGAAAGTGGTTACTTGTGCTGTTCTAATTGTTTGCAGCCTTGCAAGCAGCAATGAAGCATGAAAAACCAAACCCACACAAGAAAGCATGAACTGCAGAATGATTTTACACTATCCATAGGCCTTCTATAGATTAAAAAAAATTCAAAACTATTCAAGCTTTGAAAGTTTGAGTTCAAGCATGACGATTGCCCTTGGTTGCACGCTTTTCGGGACAGTCCGGTTTTGTAAGATTAATAACAAATGGAGGGGTTCCGAAGTGCACAATCCCCGAATAAAGACAAAAGTTATCAGTGTAAACAACAAATGAAAAGAGGAAAAATACCTTCAATACGGGCAATTCACTATAGTGTGCCTCCAAGAGTTTGAAACGCGTTGGCCAATCACAACGAATTTTGTCGACCCTTTCCAAACGCATTGGGTCGACAGATTTTGCATATTATGACTGGCCCACGAGTTGCAAACTCTTGGAGGCGCACTAGACTCTCCGTGCATGACGTCATTACGCAAAACTCACGCTGCATCGACAACCCATTTTCAGAATGGCGGACCGGGCAGACACACAGGAAACAACACGTGGGTGCGGTGGCGCGGCACACATTGCACGTGGAGTGCACGGTGGTCGCTTTAATCCGTTATTTTTGCAACTTTGTGGATCATCAAGACAACACGCAAGAAATTGGTTTCTGAGGAATTGCTGGCACAGTACATATACGTGATGTGGAGTGAGTAGCCAACAATGTCATAAATGTACATTGTATTTTGCTTTTATTAATTCACACATACTGGCCTATACTCTACAGGAATAAAATTCGTAGGCCTAGTCCTTGAGACCAAAAAGGAAAAAAACCATGTTGAGACCCTGGAAGTAGAACTAGGATCAACACTGGCCCAGGTGGACTCCTGATAAAATGAAGACAATGCCCAACCTGGGCTAGGATCAACACGAGACATATCTACAATCACTGACAATACATGTATGGTCCATTTCTGTGAAAATGATATGAGTAACTTAATAGTAATGTATGCCCATGCCCACTTAGATTTTGCACACAAGTTGTAAGCCTTATCGCATCGCAAATACTGCATGGGTGATTTTGTACAATGGTAGAAAGGCATTGTGGGAAGGAAAAAGGAGCAAACATTGCCCCTGTTTGCGATAGGGCTTGTTGGTTGTGATGATGTGCTCACGTGCAGCTGTAATACTACTTTTACTAGGCTATCCCATGATATAAGCCTAAGCCCAACCAGCCCAACTTGTTGCTGGCTGGTTTGAATCAGATGTAGCAGCGGGTACTGCATGGGAACAACTATTTCAAAGATAGATTTACTCCGGGGAGATGTAAATTCTAGTGGTTAAGATGTCTGCACTCGTAAGCAGGAGGTCGTGGGTTTGAGTCCCACCCGAGTATGTTTACGTTTTTTCACAAGCCTTCGGGGGCTTACGATGAATATACAGTGTTAAAATGCACGTTGGGCAGGGCAAAAAAAAAAATACCCAAACTTAACTTACATGTACATCTCCCCGGCGCAAATCCTTCTTTGAAATGAATTGTTGAAATGATATTTGACGCGACTGCATCAGGATGATGTACTGTACTCTTAGATCAGTTGATAATATTTTGAGTTATATGTACAGTAGACTCTACGAATTGCCTTTTTAAAGATTTGGATATGGTCCTTTAAAACATAGCAATGTAAACAGACTGTATACTCATCAGTGAAGTTGCCAACTTAGTCTGGAATCAACTCGATCCGAGTCAACTCCGTCTCTGGTCGACTTGGTCCCATGTCAACTCGGTTTCGTCAACTCTGAAAGGCAGGCATCATTAATTACCACAGATGAGACTGCAAAATCCCAGTCTTTCTTGCCAGACTGACAAACTTTGGCATATAAGTATTTCCAGAATTCTAACATTGCATGTACTGTTCATGTAAATTTACTGACATGTACATGAGATGCCTGGCCTTGTAATTTGGGCAGGCCAGGCACTTGGATGTATCATTAATTACCACAGATGAGACTGCAAAATCCCAGTCTTTCTTGCCAGACTGACAAACTTTGGCATATATAAGTATTTCCAGAATGCTAACATTGCATGTACTGTTCATGTAAATTTACTGACATGTACATGAGATGCCTGGCCTTGTAATTTGGGCAGGCCAGGCACTTGGATGTATCATTAATTACCACAGATGAGACTGCAAAATCCCAGTCTTTCTTGCCAGACTGACAAACTTTGGCATATAAGTATTTCCAGAATTCTAACATGGCATGTTCACTTTATTTTCAAACATGTATACAAACAGACTGTATGTTAGCCTATTAATTAAGCCTGACACAAAATTCAATGAAAAACTTGGTTCCTGATATACAATGTATGCACTAGTAACTTCTGTGTTACATATAAATTGTTGTCAGTTGCTGTGGAGATCAGTGGATTTTCAAAGACTCAAGACTTGAACTTAGACGTGGACCTTCTGGACTCCGACTTGAACAATGAGAACTTGGCTACCAGGACTTGGCCCCAATTCCCCCTCGCTAATTTTTAACTTTATTTTACCGCGCAAGACTGGTGGTCTATGCGTTTATATATCTTTGGTGCCGCAGCATGCGCAAAATGGGAAAACAGGACACGACAAGGTTTGGAACGCTCCTTGTTATATTTGTAAAGGGAGGCTAAGGCCTAACAAAAAATTGGGTGTGTTTCCTTTTACACTGAAAAATAAATTAGGGTGCTTGGTTGGGTTAGATATATTTTTTTTACTTTAAATTTTTATAGCCCCAAAAATTATGATGATGGTCTATATTTTTTTTTCGGGGGGGGCGTGTATATTTGTAACGGGTACTAAGTCAGTGTCAGATTAATACTGTACATGTGCAAGTCGATATTACATATCAGCACTGTGATTAAATAGTAAAGCAGCTGGTTGTTGAAATGTACAAATGCACAAGAACCGTCCATCTCATGCAAAAAAAAACAATATAATGTACAGGACGATGTACATAAAATTAGGCTCAGGGCAAGGCACCATAGGTTTTTATATTTTATTGATTTGTCGAATTAAAAGATATACATGCAGACCTGTGCCTTGTAATTTCCTAGGCTGGGTCAGTTACAACAGACTGCCAGAAGTCATTAAGTCTGTCATGTGTCTGTGATGGGTCCGATGTCCACGAGCGGGGCGGAGTCAGACCCTTCAGTTCTACGGATAAATAAGTGACACAAATTCTTCTTTTTTCAATCAAATTTTCCCTTAAGAATGAGAGCAACCATTAATCTTGAGGTACTCGGGCTAAAGGGGGTTTTTACACCAAAAATCACAGAAGGTTTCCTCATCATTTTTCCGTTTTATTCCCAACAATCGCACCGTACCGTACATTTTGTGTGCATCACACAGTGCACATAAAGTGACAGCTAAGGGCCAGTACAGTAGTCATTCGGACTATTTTTGGAGGTGGCAGCGTTTAACCTGTTTAGCCTGATGGCATCACTCCAGTCACACAGCTCATGTGATAATAATAAGATTCCACCCCCTCCTTGATACATGTATATGAACAAACTGACCTTGCTAAATTGGCCATTGGCCCGCGGATGTGCACTGAGCGTGTGATGCACACAGATTGCTCAGTGCAATGTGATTGTTGGGAAGAAAATGGGAGATACATGAGTAAACCTTCCAATTTTTCAAAATAAGATTGGTCTTTAAGTCAATTACACAGTTTTCAAGAGCTATACATGTACATGTAGATACCTTAAGGTTGCTCTCACGTGAAAATTTGATTGAAAAAGTTGAATTTGCATCACCAGTCATGATTCCTCAAAGGCTGGATTAAAAAAACAGATAGCATTGCAACTCCATATAAACAAACATGGCCGCAAGTCACATAGATTAGTGACTTTAGAATATCCTGTAGGCAAACCCCACAGTTCTTGGGGTAAACCTCCTAAACATGTTCTTATTCTCAGGCTGGGCCTGTCACCTAGCCCAGATTGGACGGCACTTTCGGTCTCTTCAGTTAGGGTTATGTACAAGTACCAGTACGAGACCTGGGTGGGACCACGAGGGGGCACAATTTTCCTAGCAACGGAGGCTCCTTTGGTGGGAACTGCACCACAGGAGACTATGAAGTACATGCATTACAGCTGCCTCGCTATCAGTGAATGAACTCTCCCCACCGACATGCATGATGTGGCTCTTTTCGACCAATGAGGGGGTGCTTCTGCTCATGGCAGAAAGACCTACATGTACATTTCAGAAAGAATTCCATGAAGATTATGATGTACAATTCATTTTTTCCTCCCACTTCCAAAACTGAACATCTCTTCATCATCTTCTTCACTCATTATCATCCTGTAATTGGCACTGTTTGATGATCAGATAAATTTAATAAACAAAATAAATGTAGAAGTAATATGGATGCTGCTTGACACCCTTTGCACAAATGGACCATGGAGAAAGAAAACTTATGACTTGTCTGAAATGTTCAAGTGTTTCCTAAGTAAATACCAGCAACATTTTCACTGCTAAATTTCGACCTTTTAGGACGTTTTTATTGCTCTGAGATGGCTGGTAGTACCTTCATGTACCAGTTATACTAATAATGTTAGGTCACTCTTGGGAATTATTAGTGGCATCAGTAATGGATTTCTTTCCGTACATGTAGGCCTACATCTCGACTAATGTCAACGATATCAAGTAATCGTGCCATTGAATCTTGACTGTTAGTGTTCCCTCATGTAGCCCACTTGAAAAAGTTGCCAAAAACCCCACGTAAACATTTGAGAAGTTCTGTAAACCTTTTATTTTCTATTATTACCTAAATTTACATACACTTGAACAAAAGTTTGTTAGAAAATTACTTTTAATTTTTGGGCAGGTTTAGAGGTGGTCATGTTGCACCGAAGGAAAAAAAATTGGTAAATGGAGCAAAAATAAAAATTTCATTGGAAAATTGTAGTGAGTGTGTAAAATCAGGGCATTTGAATTAAATTTATAGTGGGAGTTTGATGAAATTTCACTTTGAAATTTGAGGTAAAAGTGTTGCTCTGGCAAGGTACTGGAGGCAAAAAATCAAACTGCGCCAAAGTTAGGGGGCGCACAGTTTGGGGGCTTCAGCAATAAATGAAGAATGTTGCTGTGACAACAGCAAAAGCTGAAGGGATCCATTGTTTGTTTGTTTTTTTATTGTAGGAGGAAGTCACTAAGAGAACTTAACACCCAGAGTCGGTGATGACATCCGTATTTTATCTCCTTTTTGTTCTTCTCAAGAAGCGGGCTCAAGAGAGACTCAAGTTCCAGTGAGGACCCCAAGTGACAGCCACTCTGACAGTGATGAGCAAGAACAGTGGATGGAGAAAACAGCAGGTAGATAAGCTGTCATGTGTCAGTCATATTTGCCATCTGTGAAGAAATCAATTTTTGCAGGTAGATTTGGCCCTACTTTCCTTCTCAGTACAAATATTGAAGTTTTATCTCAATCTGTCATATGGTTTGACAGTCACTTGGAACTTGGGAATGGCAGCAGAAAAGTATACATTCTTGGTTGACCTCTCTCAGAAAAAGGTGCCGTGCGAGAACGGTATGTTGGATTTTCACAAAAATGGTGTCAGAATGACCAAAAGAGTTATTCAGAAAAACTCCAGAAGGCTTCAGGAAAATAAGCACCTTGATTATATTGGAAAATATGTTACAGAGCACCTTTAAGGAAAATATGTTTTCTCTGATTTTATCAGTTCAAATAAATATGGAAGCATCCAAATCGAACGTAGTGTCATTTGTCTTTAGAGCTCAACTACATAGTAGTCATGATTTTGGTCATCACACCAATTTGTTTAAAGGTACAGTCCACATTTGTCTTTTGTGGATTATTTTTTTTGAAGCAACAAATTACTCAAAATCTAAGAAATGAACACAAAAATGTACCTGATGAAGATGAAGTGTCAGCTTAATAGTGAATACTCCATATTCTGAGAGAACTGTTCTAGGACTTAAGATTTCATATCCAAAGTTGCTGAGTCGTGCCGTAAATTGTGCCTGAATTCAGCATCTGGGAAACATTCTCATATTCAGTTGAATGCAGCTACACCTTGTCACCCCCTGAACTGATGAATTATAGAAACTGCTAGTGTCTGTGCATCGTGTCAACGCTTGCACGCATTTCTAATAGTGACTTTCCAAAATTTTGAGAAGGCGCCTGCTTGAAATCATTGTTTCTTCATGATGACCATTTGCCAGAAAGAACAGTTTCTCACAGAATTTAGCCCTCTATCTAAACCAAGTATGCTTTTCAACAACAATTTTGGATACCTTTTGGATAACTGCAAATGATAGACTGTACAGTACTTTGAACCCACTTGTCCTTGTACAGGGTTCCCTCAGTCATTGAAAATCCTGGGAAAAGTTGTCCTGGAAAGTCATGGAAAACTCACAGAAAATTTGTCTGAGGAAAAGTCATGGAAATCAAGATCATACAAGGGTGATTTTGATGGTGGTTATGGATAGTGGCTATGGCAGTCTTCCCATTTATTATATCAAACACATTTTCTGTGCAGAGTGGCATTAAATGCCATGGATATTGTCATATTTTAGTTCTGGAAAGTGCAGGAAGGGTCACTGAATTTGATTTTCAGATTTCTAGGAACCTTGCTTGTAACAATCAGGACCCAATTTCTTGGCGCTGCTTAGCACGCCATTTCACACTTACAGAGGCTCTGCATATTTCATGCATACCGTAAACAGTAAGTACAGCCAAATGCATCCTAACCTTGGAGGAAACATTTGCTTAAACTTAGTGATGTAACAACAGAGATCAACCACCCCGAATACCGCCAAATTATTGAGGGTGCTCTTTGTGGCTGCCAGCTTGTTTTTTTTTTACTCCGTCTTCTTAAGTCAGTTTTTTAGTCGTTTTGTCAGTTTTTTAACTGATTTCTGTTCCAATTTATGTGATATTTGTGTGCCTAGTGTTCTTTGCGCTGCTGCCCTAAGTTTTTTACTTGTTTTGGCCACTGGGGTCTGGATGGGAGTGGATTAGTTTGCTGATCTGAACTGTAGTGAAGAAAGTGCTATATGGCGGATGTGTTGCGGAGCCTGATAGGTTGTCTCCTGTTATGTACTTTGTTTGTCACCACCATTGCTCACCTCCACAACACTTGAGACTGGCAAGTAAACTTGTTTCTTCTCATCCAGACACTTCCATGTTAATTTGGAACCTTAAAGCCCAAATTGGAGAAAAGGCTGCGATTAGCTACGTATGGGTTCTGTAACACTAAAGCTGGGGTAAATAAGTGGATCAAGCACGGACAGCTTTGTCTATTAATTCCTGGTTTTGACCCGCCAACGGAGATCACTATATACATGGACATTCAAAGTAATCCTAGTCCTGTATCAACTGTATGGACTTCTGATTACCATCGCAGTTGTAATACACATTTCTAATATTTGAGATCCCAACTGCTGGCCCTTCATAGCTCTGGAGTGCCTCCTTGTCGTTTGTTACAGGAGAATCTGAAATCTAACTGTATCCTGAATTACCGGGAAAACGATCAGGCCGACGAAATCAACACCGAGGTATTCGCCAACGGTGTAATATCCCTGTTATGTTATTCCAGGGACAACTGAAATCTGTGACCCACCTGCCTAACAGATCAGCTCATTAATATACAAACCAGCCACCCCAAACCATGCCTACCTGGTGTAATGCTGTTTAACGCAAGGTCATTAGCCAATAAGTTTAATGACTTCGAAACCATTCTGGATTGCCAGCGTGACCCTGTTCATCTCATGGCTATTACAGAGACTTGGTTCTCAATGGCAAATCCAGCCAGTTTGTATCCGTTACCCTCATATCGTTAGTTTCATCGAGACAGACAAGGTGGGAGTGGTGGGGGTGTTGCAGTTTGTTTGTCAAGACATCTCTGCCAGAGAAGTCTTCACTGAACGTATTCCTGATAACCTTGAGGTAATATGGCTGCATTTAAAATCTCCCAGACTGACGTACCTGTTAAAGTAAGGTTACATATGTATTTTGCATTCACCACCCCGCTCTCAGTCTAAGGAGGTTTTAAGTGAGCATATCATAAACATGGTCGACGTTATACGGTCTGCTGTGGATAACCCAACCTTTATAATAATGGGTGATGTTAACGACTTGGACTCGGATGTCCTTCAGCACCATACTCTACTGGATCAAGTCGTCAAGCAACCAACAAGAGGAAACGCTGTTTTAGACAAGATATTGACTGATCTTGGCAATTTTTATACGGAACCTGACTGAACTTGGCAATTTTTATGTGGAACCAACTACCATAGCACTGGTTTCATCAAGTTACCTCTAGATTGTCTGTTATCATTTGCATAATACTATTGCACCAATTAACCCTCATTTCAACCTTACCATGATTCATCTGTACGGGCATTCGGACGATGGATAACTGAGGTTGATTGGTCCATGCTTTACTGCGATGATCCAGATGATATGGCTGGGAAATTTCATCAATTAATTATTAATAAGTATAAGAACCATTTTCCATCTGTTCTTATTAAAAAGCGATGTGATTATAAACCTTGGATGAATAATCATATCCAGATGTTGATGGTGCAATGTGATGCAGCCTTTAAGCAGAAAGAGATTATAAACGGTTACGGAACCAGGTCCAGATTGCCATTCATGAGGCAAAACAAAACTTTTATAGGCGTAAAATTGAACAATTAAAAAAAAATCGGAACCAGGAAAATGGTGTAAGCAGATCCGACGTCTTACTGGGCAAACGAAATCTCATGTCCTTTTACTCGATACCGATAAATTGAATTGAATTGATGATTGAATTGGCTAATGATATTAACCTGCACCTTTCAAAGATCAGTTGCAGCCTTCCAGCCCTTGATATAAGCCTGTTAACTCCATATTCACCAGCTTGTTCATCATCCCCACTTATATCAAGGCAACAGGTTTACACAAGCTTATCAAGGCTGAATACTTCTAAAGCAGGGCATCCTCATAATTGTCCTCCATGATTATTTCAAGAGTTTGCCTATGAGATGTCGATTCCAATACCCATATATTTACTGCATGTTTAAAAGTGGGATACTGTCCAAAAATTTGGAAAAAACATGTCTGTCCAGTTCCTAGGGTTAAACCTGTCAGCATTTGATCAGCAGCGATTAATTTCAATTACTTAAGTCATATCGTGGTTATTCGAAGGTTTTCTAGCACAATGGGTAATGAATGATATTCGATATTCCATTGATGTGCAACAATTTGGCAACATGAAAGGTTCTGTGGAGCATTATTTAATCAGCATGCTCAATACAATCCATAAGAATTTGGACAAACCTGGGAATTCTGTAAATATCTGCACTTTTGATGTTAGCAAAGCTTTTGATCGTATAAACCACATGATTGCAGTAGAGAAACTAATTCAGCTTGGCGTTGATCGCTCGATTGTACCCATGTTGTGTAGCTTTTTAAGTGACCATTCGCAAACCGTCCGATATCGTGGAGCCACCTCAAGAGATATTAGACTTACATGTACATGTGGTGTTCCCCAAAGTACAAAACTGGGGCCAATTATTTTCTTGGCTATGGTTAATGATGTAGCTAGTTTGTTGGCTAATCGCTGCAAATATGTGGATGAACTCACCTTACTTGAAGTGATCTATAAAAATCAGAATTCAGATATGCAGAACATTGTGCATTCAATTGTTGAATGGTGTGACACTTAAGATATGAAATTCAATCTTCAAAAATGTAAAATCATGCAGGTTTCGTTCTTACGTAACTTACCACCTAAACCTAAAATAACAATTCATGAAAGTCAACTCCAACTTGTTACATCAACGAAAGTACTTAAAATAATTATTTAAAATGATTTAAAATGGGATCAGCAAGTTACGAGTCTTGCTACCAATGCGTCTAGATGGCTATTTATTTTAAGTCAGCTCAAGTAAAATGGTGTCAGTGTTGACGATCTTATTACAATTTATATAATGTACATTCTTCCAACCTTAGAGTATGGAGCAGTCATCTGGTCTTCTGGCATATTAAGATATCAATCTCAACGTCTTGAGAGGGTACAGAAGCGAGCACTTCGTATTACTGTATACCCCAATTTGCGGTCCTTTACTGAATTGATGTGTAAGTTTGATATGCAGGAGCTGTCTGTTAGACGAATACAGCTCAGTCCCAAAATGTAATTGTCTCCTAGACATCGCCATTTTTACCGTCAACTCGGCAAATGCTCTCAGATTGGGTACTTACGAATTCCAATAATCTGCATATCCCATACTGCAGAACACAAAGATACCAACAAAGTCCAATTATATACATGTCTAAACTGTGAAATGATAAAATTCCAGGTGCCCTCATAATTAATCCCAACTCCCTAGGGTGTGTGGGCGATCATGTTGAAGTCAGAGGATTCGGGACTGTTAGGGTTAATTACTTGTTTTACTTGTTTACTTACTAGTTTACATAATGGTGTTTTTTATCAGTGTTTTATAATGTAATACATTTATTTTAATTTATCTTTTAAACTGTCTTGTATTCAATTTTTGTAAATCAAACACTTTTAGTCATGTGACTTTTTGATGCTTTCTTTCAAATAAACCGTAATGAATGAATGAATAAAATAGTGCTCAAGGTTAGCACATTTTTCTGCTAAAGTTAGCGCAATTTGTCTTCCGACTGTGCTAAGAAGCCCTGTGAAATTAGGCCCTGACCCCACCCAGCCTGTTACACTCTGCGCTCCCCAGCACTGTATGGTTTTATGGATTTAACAGCGACCCACAATAAGAGTCTATGTGGTGACGGTTTGAAATGTGGATGTTTTGCTCATTTGGGGAGGAAATTATTATTATAGTGTGACTGAAAAACCTTAGTTGACCTTTTCTTGTTTTTTGTCATTTTCCCCTGTATTTAGATTTTGGAAGGCCTCATTGCCAGGTGAATGTACTGCCATGGCTGCCTACATGAACGTTGAGGCTGGCTAGCATCGTGGTACGAGTGGACTGACCGAGGATATCTCCAAAGTGAAGAGGCAGGTTACGTCATAAGTAGCACAGGTAAGAGTCCTGTGTTTCATATCATTGCTGACTTTCTGCAAGGATGAATCCGGGAAAGGGGGAGGGGCCAATTAGGGTCATGACCAAAAAAAGGAGCAAAATTGTTTCATTTGAAAAAATGAAAGGATCTTTTTGGTCTGTTTAATTTCCTATCTTTTGAAAAGTGGAAATGCAGCCTAACCCCTCAAACAACTTTGAAAATTAAAAAAAGTTTGGCCCCCAGAATCAAGTTTGTCCCCCCTCCCTGAAAAAACATAAAGTGCTGGATCCACCCTTGGGTGCTTGTGGCTAGCTTTTAGTGCAACCCTGACCTAGAGATGGTTGTGTGCATTGTGTCAATCAAGCAAGACGATAGGGATGAGGTTAAACCCTTGTAACCATGGGCAAGCTAGTTGAATGCACCCACTATACTGGAATTATTCACATTTTCCAGGCCTAAAGTTCCTTTCCTTCATGGTTTGTTGCTGTTTCATGACAAATTACCATTGATCAATGGTCCACATTTCCTGAGACATGTTCAAGGAGCAACTTGGGTTTCATAGTTTTAACAGTAAAGCTTATGAAATGAAGCATTTAATAAGACATAAAATACCTTTAGACCGACAACAGCAGGTGCATAATTTAAGGAAAGTCTCCATGTTAATAACCATGACCAACGCTGCCTTGTCCCCTGGGGTTTCATGATTTGCTGTGCAGCTCTGCTCTACATCAAAGAAGATGGATTGGGGGCAACTGTGGCAATTCTCCATCAAACATTATTTGGCCCTGTTGGTCTTTTTATTTAAGAAAGAAGAAAGAAAGGTCTCAATTTTTGCTCCAACTTAGTTCCTTTTGTGATTAATTTCTTCCCCAGACCTCCTCATATGACAGCTGTCGGTATGCCCCAGGAGAAGCAGACCATAATGCTGATGAGAAGAGCGCCCTCGCCTCCTTCAACCTGGAGAAAAGGAAGATGGAGGACAAGATCCTATGGGACTTCACAGAAATGATTCATGAGAATGTCAAGAAGAGGAAGTAACTCAGATAGATGCCAGTCCTCGCCTCCATCACTGAGGAGGAACAGTTTTCAAGATTGCATGAGGGATCCTCGTCAGAATCTTGGGCATTGATTCTCAAAAAGGCAAGGAAAGGACTCAATCTTCTCAGAGATGCAGTTCCTTGCTTCCACCTTAGTGATGGAGCAAGTCTATCTGCATTTGTACACTACTCAAAGGATCAAAGGATCATACGTAGTGATTAATAATTTACACAAAATGGTATTCACATTGCAAAAAATGAGCGTCATCTAATTTGGCTATTTTATGGCATCAAAACAAGAAATTTCCGCTACAGAGTACTTAAGTCTCACGACTGGAAAAAAAAAACCCTTTGGTCAGCATCTTGTCCGGGTCCTTTACAGCCCTGAAAATGATGCATAAAAAATTGAGTTTTAACCAAGTAATGTGAGGGCACTATTTATGAGTTAGAATGATATCTCGGTAATGTGAGGGCGCTGTTTACGAGTTAGAATGATATCGCGGTGATGTGAGGGCACTGTTTATGAGCATATTCTGGTACTGTGAGGGCATTATTTGTGATTCTGAATTACAGAAATGAAGCACTTTGAAGAATGTATCTCAGCATGAAAAAATTACATGTAACTGTTGAGACCCTTTTATTCAGTAAAATAATGCAATGTCTGACTTGTATCTGTTTGCAAATCTTCCCCCAAATCACATATTTGTATAATTATCTGTAAAAATGATGATTGATACGAAAAAATCAAATTTGTGGTTGTCAGGACATTAAAAAAAAGCTTCCCAGTTTTCCAAAACCAAACCACAAAATGGTAAGAGGTCCAATATTTCGATCACTTTTTCCCAAAATGTCCTGAAGTGAGACACATACGTGTACATCATTTTACCAGAATAGGGTTGTATAGTACTGGCCAGTCTCATTCATGTCATTGTACCCCCCCCAACTCGCTAAGACACTCCCATGCTCTCACCCCCTTGCCTCAGAGTCATCCCATCCTTAATTTATGTGCAAAGAGAGTGAAAGGTGGCCATTTTGGAGTTGTGCAATACTGGAGCAATACACATCACCCTCTGCTTTTTTACTCTTCCAGTTAATTGGGCTTTCAAACACGACTACCCAATTGCATTGTCTCACATTCTATGGTGCTCAACCAAGCATGAACATGAGCTTCAGTGTACAATAAGGGAAGTCAATGAGGTACACACCTGGCTGAATATTTCAAAGACAAATGTCTTATCCTTTAATTTTTTGAGTAGTGTATATTGGTTTACAGTACAATGCAGCTATAATGAACAGGGCACGGTCCATACACAATGCTTGGTGCAGCATACCTCCCCAACTATTGCGATTTCATTTGTACTGTTCCAATTGTCGCATTTTCATAGGCCTAAAAATTTAAATGTTCTGATTTCCGTAAAAAGGGGGAAAAAGTCCTGGCAAAAGAAGGCACTATTTGCCAAAACAGAGAGGGTGCCATTTGCAGAAAAAAGAGGGCGCTATTTCCTATGTTGAAATGTTAGTTGATACACATACTTTTGTGTTCTTGTTCATGTAAAAAAGATTCTCTTGTGCGGCTGCTCGTTTTGCTATGGACTCATAACATGGCCATTCCAATTTTGGAGTTTATTGACATCTTAACTTTTGTGTCACTGTCATCAGTCCTAAATTTGTTTCTTTAATTTAAAGCAAATTTATGATATTCAGTAAAAGTGCGCCGAAAATTTGGGAGCCAAGAGGCATCTTCCGTATACCGAATTGTTCATTATAGTGATGCTGTACTGTACTTTACGTGTACAATTTTTCATGACTTAAGAGGTAATCTGAAAATTGAAGACAATTGGTGAGCTTGCTTTTGAAGAAAGACTTATTGTTCGCCTTTAACTTGTTTCTTTTCATCGTAATGTATTGACTCATATTAATGCACATTAAAACATTCATGTTTACTTTTAAGTTATCAAGATGCTTTACATGTACTTCAAAATTTGCAAATATTTACCATTTGGAAAGACTTCAGACACTTTGATACTACTTTTTTGAGGACTAAAAGCTTGTAACTATTGCATGCTTTTAAAAAGTGAAAGTGAATGGTGTTCTCAATCAGGCAGCCAAAATACCAAGTAGCTGTTCTGAACCTCACTTTTAACAAGTTCGCCCCCCTGAACAGAGATATTGACAAATGGGAAGAACCACTGACATAGGGCTGGATAACTTAGTTGGTAGAGCACTGGTACAGTGTTCCAGAGGTCGCACGTTCAAATCCCACTCCAGTCAATTTCCTTGTTTATCTTTATAAGTTATTCCGTTGACAAAATTCTATGTGCATTTTGTATTTTCCAAAATTACCACAAAGCTGCAAGTTGCAAATTGTTGGCTCAGTGCTGAAAAGTTTTTACTGCAAAAATGTAATTTTTGAAAACATTCTAAAGACCTTACTCTGTGCACAAAAGAAATAGTTGATTTAAACAGTTTTTTATTTTTGCCATAAAACTATTTTTTTTCCCGCCAACATGTTTAAATTTTAACCAGTTGTTTCCCAAATTACTGTCTAAAACAATATTTTTCACTAAACACCTTTTCGTGCATTCTAAGGACCTGTCTAGCACTGACATGACATTTGTTTCATTTGAAAATATTATCTTGTAAAAATGCTTTGTGTGTATGTAAAACAATCACCATTTATTGCTATAACCAGTTAATTTCTATTTGCAAGCAAAATAAATACTCATTTATTTAAACCAGCAGAACAACTTGTTTGTACATGTATATCTATTTGTAAAACTGCAGTACTTTGCCATTTAACCCTTCTCCTAATCTGGACCATTTTACACTGCCAGAGTTTAAGGTACATCTGTCTCCATCTTTAGTTTTACATTACAGCCTCATCCTACATGGAAGCCCTGCCAGTCTTAAATATCTTCCAAGCTCCTTATATAAAGTTCCCTTTTGGAGCCTTTTAGTCTCAATCTTATAAAGGCTACAATAAACCCAACAGCAATGTGGAACACTAAGAAGCTATGTCCTTCAACCCCATGGGATCCTCAGAGATCTAATACTGATAGCCCCAAGCCCTCAGCTATCCACTCTACCCTTCCTATCAGCTCTCAGACTTCCAGCCCCTAGGACTTCCACCCTAGCCCATC